TTATATATATATATATATATATATATATATATATTATATTTAAAAGATAAAATATAAGAGTCGTGATTTGAGAGAAAAAAATATTCGTAATCATATCTCACCTCAAGCTGTTCATATAAAAAATATTAACATAATCAAATCACTAGGCATAAAAAGACCTAAAAAGAGAATTATATTTGTTTTATAACTTTAAAGTTAGGATATATTTATAGATATTGGTTTTGTATAGTGTGTGTTATGATCATCATTTAATGACAAAAATGTTTCTTTTTCATACAATGTTGATGTAGCATTGATCTATAAAAACTCCTCTCGATTGTACTTCATTCCGATTGACCAAAAATAAAAAGGCATTGATCTCAATCCCACTTAATCAAGTGATCTAGAAACTTAAAGGGGATAAGACTCAAGAACACAAAGTTATCCACTCAAGGAGAATATGTCAAAGGTTTGAAGACCTAATTTGCACGTGATGGTCAACCTTGGGTGGGTTTGAAATCATACATGTGTGTGCTCTAAAAGTCAACGGATTCATGAACCTACTTACACTTGAGCGATTCGAAAGGTTATAGAATTAGGTCATGATATCAACACATCAAAAGTATTTGTGGTCATTGTAAGGCTCAAAAGTCACAACCCAATATTTAGGGATTAGTGTTGGTGTTGATGGAACTTAGCTTGGCCATTTGGCCACCTGCTTAGAGGGTGAAGGTGAGGTTGCCCTAATCCCAACCAATGGCAAGTGGGCCCCTTCCCCTAATTTGATCACATAAAATATTATGACTATAAAAATCAAATGATGTGTGTTGGATTTGAATGACAACCTTAAGGGTTTTCTCCTTTTTCGATCATATTAGTCGCGAGTAGTTTGAATTAGACTAATTTTATTATTTTTAAGTGTTGAAAACTCGAAACCTATCACTTATCTTTAAAATAAATTTAAGCGTCTTTTTCTTTTCAAAATTTAGCGAAAGATATACGCTTAGTTAACTTTCTTCGTTTCATAGTAATCATATCATTTAACATAAAATTTCTCATGTATTTGATAGGATTAATGGCTTCGCCTCAACGAAAATCTCAAGCACATGTAGAGAAGCAAATACATAAAGACAAAAAATGAAAACTTTGAATCGAGTGGTCAATTAGCATGTCAATATCTAAGAAAGGTAAATGAATATTTTAGTGAAAGAGAAGACAAGATTTAGTGAAAGATTGCATCTTAGATTTTAGTCTCCCGCACCTAAATGTCCATTTCGATGGACAATTCAAGACGAGATGCCCTTCTCTAGTCGTAACACTAATATCCTAAGACTATTTAGTAGTCATCGAAGACAATTCTAGTGATTCATGCATGCATTTATGTCCATTAAATACAAAGTCTCACTTGCCAATGAATCAGAACGAGTGCTCATCTCAAAGAAAAGAGAGAGAGAGAGAGAGAGAGAGAGAGAGAGAGAGAGAAGGTGGCGGGTCAAAATGGAAGGTCCATCTTGACTATTGATGGTATAGTTTGGTGTTGATCGTTGACTATTGAATCAATTGCTTTAGAATTATGATATCGAATGACGACAAATGGGGATAAGGATGTGTGATTTGACTTCACGGCTCCTTCGCCGTAGTTTCTATTACTTGATCACGAGGTGAAATTTCATGAAATATTAGGAAAGAATAAAACCAATAGGAACACATAATTACATTTTGTGACAATATATGATATAATTTAAAGGGAAAAAGTATGCGTAAAGGATTTATTTTAGGTGACCTCTAGTTTTGACATGTATTTTAAGAAAGTCTTAATCGATAATAACTTTATTAACTGAGTAATTACATGGATAAAGTTGATTTAAATGTAATAATTTCATGTTTGAAAAATATTTTACTCAAAGTTTTTCTTTTTTTTTAATATAAGGATTTGGTGATTTATATGGTTTTAGTTATGTATAGGATACTTTACAAAAAAAAAATCTCATTATTAATTTTTTACCGGACAGTGCCTCTCATATTCGTTTTAAACTTAGATGAAAATATCGTCATCGTTCTTATACTAAATGATTTAATCATTGATACTATTAAAATTTTCTTAATTTTGATAATTAATTATCATAAATTTTTTAAAAATAAAAGATGATGCTAATCAATTTAAAATCAAGTCATGTTGTAGTGATTCTATTTCTATTAAATTTTGATTTGGTTTAGTGGAAGTTAATCAGGTAATACTCGAAATTGAACTAAGTTACACTTAATTAAAGTATCAATTTAAAAAACTATAAAATTAAATAATTTATTATTATAATATCTTTTAAATATAAAAATATTGATTATCTTATGCTAATGATCTTATAAATATTTTAGTTGATTTAGTGAAAATTGAATAAGTTACACCTGAGATCCTATTAAAACTTTTTAATTTTATAAGTAATTATCATAAAATCTTATAAAAAATAAAAAAAAATTAATACTAATCATCTTATATTTATGATCAAGTAATTTGGTAAAAGTTTGACTTAGTGAAAATTGATCAAGTTGCACTTGATCATATAATATATTAAAAAAAAATTTACTTTTGATAATTAATTATCATAAAATTAAAAAAAAAAATAAAAAAAATAATATTAATCATTTTAGAATCATATACTTGATCACAGTATCAATTTAAAAATTCAAATTTTAATAATTAATTATCATAAATTGTTAAAAAAATAAAAATGATATTAATCATCTAAGAACTCTATGAATGTTTAGGTCGATTTAGTGAAAGTTGACCCGATTACACATGATCACTCAAATAATTATAAAATTAAACTAATATACTTAAGTTACACTCGATCAAAACTTATCCAAAAAAATTCCAACTTTAATTAGGTATGGTTGATTATTTTTTATAATTTTTTTTTTAAGAGCTCTTAGGATTTTCTTCCTCTAGTAAATTAAATGTATAGTTGACTTGTGAACTAACTCAATATATTTCAATAATAGTAGACATATGTCATACATGCTAACTTAGTTGATCTCCCATGTTTGATGTAGGACTAAATCCAGGGAGTCACAAACACAAATGCAGATCAAGTGTAGAGAAGGTGAAACCATGAAATCAGAGGTGATTGATCTGAAAACAAAGCTAGAAGGACATGCCATGAGCAAGATGAGAGAGACCCTTTCTTTACCTATCCTTCTATATGTTTTCATGTGATTCCCAAGATCAAACCATCAAATGTGTACACTCATGGATGAGATTGGAGTCAGAAAAAGGCTCTGAAGTATCAGCTTGACATAACATGGGTTCCATGGAAGCCATTCCCAAGGATGGATTTCAGCAAAGACAGACTTTAATGTGTTGAAGACATCTGTGATCAGATTTGCTTACAGTTGATTGCTGCAATAAGTACTCTTTCAGATCAATGCAATGCATAGATTCCTCAGTTTCAGAGGTTTAAGCTTTTCTGCTGGTTAGCAATGATCATATACTGTTCTTTTGTGACAGATCCATGGAAATGATTAAGCTCAATACTGTTCTTTTGTTTTGTTTTGGGTTTCTGGAGGATTTTATTAGTCTTTTGAGTTTGACATAATTCTCTCTTTCCCAATTGTTAATAGCAATCTGATTACTGAATGAATATATTTGGCTTTATAAATGAAGAAAAGGTGTGATTGTCACTCTCTTTTGAGCAAGAAAGATCAAGTTTCACCTGCGCTTAATCTGAGTTGGTGCTTAGGCAGAAGAATGGCTTCAATGGATGATGAAGAAGATGAACAACCAAATTGTTGAATCTTTCATTCAACAGGATACATGTTTGACAACCTTGCTTGGTGAAAGATGTCTGATAACTGCATCACTGCAAAGAAAGAAAGAAGAGGAAGAGAAAGCACAACGAAGGATAAATGATGGGCATCACATGCTACACCATTTGTCCTTGAATCTCTATGGCTGTGTCTTCCTATTTTTGCGCTGCCCGGTGGATTTCTTGATGGATTCGATCCTCTGAAGCCTAATCTGTTCTCTGAACTTGGCAATGAACTCCTCAGCCTTCTTGTCTACCTCATTCCGATTTATTCCTGCTTCTGGTGCAGAGTCGGGCACAGCCGTAGCTGAGGGCTCTGCAGCTTCTTCTTCATCATCGCTGTCAGAACCATCATCCGATGAAACGAAAACCTTTTCCATGAATTCGTTCCTCTTCTCGATCGGATATTTTGGGACTGGTGGAGGCCGCCGAGTTGTTGCGTTATCCATGTCTCTTGATGTTCGAACTGGTCTCCCCATGGGAGGACCCTCGAAGGAGTGATCAACGACTGCAGCGCCATTGTTTCTCTGCCACCCCTCGCTCCCTCTCCTGCTCAAATCCTTCAGCTCATCTTTGAAGCTTCGTGCTGTGATCTTTCTCTCGGACGTGGATGTGAATCCATGACCAAGATATGCGAACGGAGGTGGCGGTGGCGGTGCGGGGGGTGGAGCTGGCTTGTAGTTTCTCTTCTTCTTCACCATGTCCTCGCTGCTCTTGACCCTGGTCTCCGGTGAAAGAGATGAAGAAGGCGAAGGCCTGGTGGGGGATCCGCGAGAAGCCGGCAAACGGAAGGATGAAGTCCTTGAAAGACCCTTGTCGACTTCGAAGGCAGGAGTGGCCGGTCCAGCGTCGTCCTTCAGCTCCATCCTTGCCGAACGTGATCTCCACGGAATTGGAGAAGGACGGACGACTGATTCCTCGGATCCATTTCTTGACTCAACTCCATCGACTTCGTCTCTGGAACCAGAGTGCTGTCTCTGTGATTTCAGGCTCCGGACGGGCAACAACAGAGGCTTGTTAGCGGCGTGGCTGCCCCTCGTGCCTCCGTTAGCAACCACAACCACTGGATCATTCCTATAGTACTGAGAACTCCATGTTTGGACCTTGCTCTCGTCGAGACCTCCGAGCGGGCTATCGGCCTCATCATCATCGAAGACCGACGGAACATGGAGAATCTGCGACACAAAAGACTGGGTGCTGCTACCAGCCTTCTGCGGCGGTTCCTTCTCCATGTCATGGTCCGCGTTCCGCCGGCCGAACAAGCCGTATGAGATGGCGATCCCGACGAGGAGGAGGCGGAGAAGCTCCCAGAGTCCGGTGGAGATGGTTTCACCCACGAACTCGGGCGCTTGGAAGGGGGAAAGAGGGAGGAGGGCGAGGAACACGACGAAGAAGGCGAGTTTGTAGAGCAGACTGGACAAGAACTTGGACGAGCCTTGCGGAGCATTCGGGGACGGAGTCCTCTGCCTCGGAGTTGGAAGCTTGGTTGGGTGGAGGAGGGAGCTTGGCTCAGCCATCGGTGCCGACAAAGAAGCCCTCCCTTAATGTGCTCTTCTTCCTTTTCCTCTTCTCTCAAACTTTCTCGTGGTGGGGAGAGAGAGAATCTAGTAAGGAGAGAAGCGAAGAGGAAGACTTAGCGAGCAAGTAAAGGCTAAGCGAAGGAGAGGAAAGCAGAAGCTTTGGTGGGAGGGCTGAAGGAGGCCGCCATGTTTAAAAAGCGTTGGCCGCGGCTTCATTGGAAGTACCGTAATGACCTCAGCCGCCCTCAGTCTTCCCTCACCCACTGGTCTCCTGCATGGAGCTGAACGAATGCTTAAAGAATTTGAGAGAACAACGGATGGAGAGGGGTAAATTCCAAGATGGTAAAGGCAACGTTGATGGAAGACGATAAGATGCGGTTTGGATTCTTCTTTTGCGGTGCGCACGCTAGCTTTATGGCTTGGAAATCTAGGAATTAAGGTGGTAGCGTTGATACCTCCTCCCGTCCCACTCGTTCTGGTGGGTGCAGTTTGGACTTATGGCCGCCCTCCTCTCTTTTGCAGCAGGAACGCATTCCAGCTTTCCCTTCTTTCTTCTTTGGCGGCTACAGAGCTTTTAAGGGCTCTGAGCACATCAGATGGTCCATGGAGCAACCTACGTCTAAAGTTGTGCAACATGGAATAGAATGATCTGCCCTGATGCTCTCTTTTCTCCCCTGAGATGATTTCTGTTCCCTTTTTACTGCCGTGGGTGGCGTCGGATCGAACCAGTTCTTCTTTCCTGGCCACCAGGAAAGGAAGGCAGATCGTGGCGTGGGATTAATGGCGTTTGACCCACGCCACCCTCATTTCTTCTTCACTGCACCGAAACCGTCCTCGCCACTGCAACACTTCCATACATGATGATACAAAGAACAGTGCTGTGCTCTGCCACCGTGCTTGATTCCAAGCTTAATCTACACGGAATCGTACCTACTTATGTGGATGGATAATCTCCATCAAACAAAGAAGAAGAGGGTGAATCGCTTTTTTCAGCTGAAGAAAGTGCAGCAGTTAGTGAGAATCCATGTGCAGCAGCAGCGTGCTTTAGCTGATGGAATTGTTTAGAGAGTGGGCAAGGAAAGCCTCGTCGGAGATGACAAGGGATCGCCGCAGCAGTGTCCAGAGAAAGCATGACAGCGATCGCTTATCTCGGGCTAAATGCTTAATCGCGTTCTTTATAAGCGCGGTGATGCTTCCAAGTATTATGATTCCACGACTCTTATCGGTGCTCCGAATAATTTGATGACTTGGATGATCGAGACCTCATCCGAATCCTATAACTTGTCGGGTTGGATATCTGCTTTTGGCGGGTCGGTAATGGGTTGGGATTCTGATCCGACAACCCGAACCGACCAGTAACGGTATCGGAGTCGGACCTGTTCGTGACCCGATGGCGCCACCGTCATATCTCGGTGGTCGATCAGTCTTTTCCGACAGCTCCAACATTAGTGGCGGAGGAGAGTCGGAGGCGGGGCGGCTTTTGAGGACGAGCATCTCGAGAGCTACCATCACCAGAATCGAGCAGACGTCCCGCGAGATCGAAACCCTAACCCCGATCCTGGATGAATCTATGAAACCCTGAAGGCAGATCAAAACCGGTGGAGGGATGAAGACGGCTTGGAGGTCCCTTCCTTGAGGACCGAGATGGAAGGTGCAAGGTTGGTGGGGATCGAATGTCTCCTCTCCATTTCTTCCAATTAGAGAAGTAACTTTTAGGCGGAGGTTTCTAATGACTAATGTTGCTGGCTTTGTGGTCTGTAGTCGGCGAATTTGATTGTGGTGCATCGGGCGATCGTGGCCATAAAGGATGTGGATTGCTATGTTCTCTTCTTCAGATAGTACTACCACTTGCTCATGAAGTAAGATACATCTCTTATTATATCTGTGCTACGTTCTGTAATTTTGTTATACGCTTTTTTAGATGTTCTGAAATAGCTTGAATTTTCTCTTCTTTTGGTATTTAGATTGTTTAGAATACTGTGATTAATGGGGTCAATGAAAATTACAAGTCCTGTTTGAAGAAAAATATGCAATGCTCTCACTTGATATAATTGCATTGTGTAATTGTAGATGTTCAGAGTAATCTAATACCAAATTGTGGCTAGATAGAGGATCTACTTATTTTAACAGGTTGAATTTAGGTCAAGTGAGGCTGTAGCTTTATAGAACAAGAGAATGATCTAATCTACCAGGCTCCTTTTCTTATTGTATTGAGATAATTGCTATTTTACATTTTTGCAGTATGAAGCCTTTGGTGCATGTCTGCATGACAATTTCAACCAATGCATTTTTGGAAGATTGTGATAGTAGGTGTTTTGAATTTCTGTTGTTTTGTTTTTTTTTTTATCCTAACCACAGCAATCTTTGATATTAACGAACTGGCTTAATTATCATGACCTACAGTTTAGAGCATTTTTTCCTCTTTCTGATGCTGAAGTAAGAATTTTTTTATTAGTATTATTTAGCTAAAACTATTGCCAAAATTATTTTTGTGTCTTTGGTTCTGTTCGTATATTGCTGGAGACAACACATTTGTTTGAAACATGTTAATTTTTTAAGAAATTGTCAAGTCATATTTTTCATTAGATTAATCTTGACATAGTTTAGATCCTCATGGTATCAACTTTCTAAGTAGAAATAACAGTTTGCTCATAGTTTTCTGAGAAAGAGTCAGTGGTTGCAATTGCTTCATGATGCATGTTATGTCTAGTAACAATCCTGGGGCTTAGTTTGAGAAACGTGTAACCTATGTTGGTGTTACATACTGGGGATGGTTCATTGAAGAGTTACCCATAAATGTTTTATGTCAGAATATAATATCTGTCAGGACTTTCGTAAACTGTGTTTATAACTGTATGGTTATAAGGGTGATCAAGTACTTATAGATATTGCAGTTGGGATCCTTTTAAAGTAGGGATGAAAATGGATGATGATTTTTGTAAAATATGGACTTCATCAAACTACAATCAAGTTATGCAAGAACTTTAATAGGGATGGAAATGGATTATGATGTTTATAAAATATGGACCTCACAGAACTACAATCGAGTTATGAGAGAGCCAGGCTCAAACATATTATTTTAAATTTGGTTCTGACCCAAGAAATATGATTCTTGTATGATGATCTTGCTCCAGTGTTGGCAGAATTACAATATGTCCACATATATATGGGAATGCAGTAGGCATTACATATCTGATATGGAGCTCTGAATAAGTTAAATTGATTTAAGAGAGAAATTTGTGATGAAGTGATTAGAATCAAATTAGGCTTTGGGCACCCTCAACCCTATCAAAATCAAAGGGGTGCAGCACCCTTCAATAATCCCAAACCAAAGACCAGCCGGCCCTAAGGAAGTTCTCCAGCCGAGAATAAGAGAAGAAGACAAAGAGAAGAGAAGGAACTACTGCTGGTTCTTCTTCCCAAACTGTCGCAACCTTGTCTTCCTTTAACCTGTAAGTTCCAGTTTGCCTAGGATAACTTCCTAGCTGAGAGCAGCAACATAAGAAGATGAGGAGAAGAGGAAGAAAGCCTAGACAACCTTTCTCCAGCAGTAGCCGAGACCAGCAAGCAAGGATCTTCTTTCAGCCTACTGCAGAATTCTGCAATAGAGAATCATCACAAACCCACAGCTTCATCTTCGTCCTCTACATCCAAAGACGAAGTAGCAACTACTACAAAATCAACCTCTTCTGCAGTGCCTAAGAAGGGTACTGTCGGTTGAGAGATCAAGGTGGAAGAAAGGGAGAAATGACAGTAAGCGTTCTGCCGTGATTTGTCCCTGCTTCTCGTGTGAGAACTTCCAAACAATTGTCACTCGAGAACTCTTTGTTTTAGTTTCTTGTTTTAGGCACTCTAAATTCACAGTAAGAGTAGATTACTTTTTTTTTTTTCTAAATTATGTTTATTATAGAAAAACATAACTCCATCAAAATTTTTCATCTGAGAGGTGACGGCTCAATAGATCATCAAGCCCGAAACCCATACAGATCAGTGATTGGAGAAGTTTTCAGTCAAGTCTGAGGTAGTTGTGATTTATGAACAATGGTATCGTGTTAAGCATGAGCTATAAGTTCAAGTTTCCATTACTGCTTTGATTTTCATGAAGGCATGCATCTTATATTTATCAACAGATGGCTTTATATTCTTAAAGTATGAATGCATGATATCTTCAGGTTACTGTAGCCAATATAGTAACCATGGCACAATGATATGTGCAAAAGGGCACTATAATTTATGGAAATATTCCTTAGATTAATTAATTGTACTATAATATAAGGATACAACTATGAGAAGTTGGGTTCAGGAACAGGATTGGAATTGGGTAATCCAGATTGAGCATTCCTCCACTTCCCATTCTGCATTGTTGGTGGGAGTGGATTTAGAGATCCATGTGGAAGAAAAAGTAGGAGATCGGTCAATAAGACTAAAGCCTTTTCATGGTTCCCTTGGTTCATATTGAAAACAGATTAGGACAACACCAAAAAATTAGAGGAATACGGCCTACATCTGATTGATTTGTAGAGCCGTGCTTCTTATATACAGTGGTAATACCATTAAAATATGCACTCTTCTTTTTTTTTTATACTAAAAGCATTAATTGGGAACTTTAATCCTTGATTACAAGGAACCTTTTTTGCTTCACTTTTTCTATTGGACTTAGTTAGCCTGAACCTGGATCAGTGAACTTCAATGCATAATGTTATGGTAGTCCCTAGTTTTCAGAAATTAGAACTACCTTTGGTTAATATGATAGCAAATCGAACATATTTGTTTAGGTACATATAATGATGGATTATTGATTAATTTGAGTGATGAGGGGAGGAGAAAAAGCAATGGATTTTGTGCAGTAGTAGCATCACTTTTTTTATTATTGTTTCTATTGAAAATTATAATATTTGGTCACTCTAATCAACAATATTCAGGAACTTGACTCGACTCAAAAGTCATCCAATTGAGTCATTTCAAAGACCCACAATAAGAAAATCAAATATGATTTATGTTTCATATACATGGTACTTGTATAGAGGCCTAGCAACTGGAGATTGACCTAGGTGTGACCAGTGCATCAAGATCATGAAAAGCTGACAGAGAAACCAGGGTTGGGATCTATACATGGTTCACTAGCTGATGCCTTGAACACCATGTAAGCTTCATTTTAGTCAGCAACTTGTGATTACCGCAAATGAGTAAGATGAGAAAAGCTTGGTCTCATAAATTGGTTTCCAGTCAACTTGGCATGTTTTCATGATATCTTCATGTTGATAGTCAATTTGATAGTATTATCGATCAAGATGAAAATAGAGGTTATGAGTCTCAATCCATCTTAGTTTTTGACAAGCTGGAAGTAATGTCCTATGGTCCAGGGTGGACCCGATCACCCATCATAATGCAGTTGCCAACAAAGAAGTTGCACTTATTGAACTTGTGAAATGGCCTCTGCAATAAGGCAAGCAACCTCAGCTTGGAAAACATGCCCGTTGCTTAAAAGACTATTGCAATCTTCTTCTGGCCATGGAAACCATTTGTGCTACACTGAAGTGGGTGATGACACTGATGGTGAAGCCAACATATGAACACCTGATCAGATTAAATTGTAAGGAGAAGGATCTTAATTGAACTAATGGTCTTGAAACTAGCACAGCTATGGTGGCTCGGATGACCTCTAGAGAAAAGGCACTAGATCTAGCATGCCTTGCTTTGAGAGAACTGTGTGGCATCATGGGTGACAATATGTTTTCTGATCTACTGCTTCAAGCTAGTTGCCTTTTCTTGTTTTGGTTGTGCTTGTTCTTGTATGTTCTGCCTAAAAATCGAGACATATCTCTTACTTTTCAGTATTCTGTTTACGTATTTGGTAGGTTAAACTAAGACATTCATTAGGACTACTTTCTGCAAGCAGTGCTTATTGATTGCCAAGTTCTATCGACCAATATAATCAGAACAGGGATTTGTGCTCAAAAAATAAGGAAAATGGTATTACTGAAATGAGTTCTTAGGTGATACACAAGTATGTTGGTTCATATTATAGCTTCAAACTGAGGAGATGAGACATCTCAGTCTGATGTGTCAGACATTAGTATCTGAAGTACAAGAGAAAAAGAGATCCACTTTGCATGACAAAAGCTGGGGGTGGTCATTAAAGAAAGAACTTGAGATTTACACGAGAGTTATGAGTCTTTTGACTGAGACACTCCCACCACCTCACCACTACCAATTATAATACAAGCCTTTTTTTTTGGTTTTTTGGTTGCTTTGGATTAATTAATCTTGATAAGAAAATAAAGACAGAGAGAGTAGGGAGTTGTCGAATGCCCATCAAAAAGAAAAGCTGATGGGATTCCCATCACCCACCTGCAATTCCCATCATCATCCTCACCACCACCATATGCTGACAACAACAGCATTCACTGCGTCCGCCCAGTATCGGTATCAGATAACAGCGTTACATCGAACTATGGGAGTCAAGAGCGCTGTGGAGGAGCGTCAAGGAACGATGGACGGAGCTGAATCGGCGCCCACGGAGCTGCAACAGGTCGCTGCTGGTGGAGGAATTGGTGGTACTCCGCCGGCGGTTGGTTCCTCGATGATGATGATGCAGCAGCTAAGGCGGCGGAGGTGGAGCCGCAGGCTCGCTCGCAGGAGGGGCACAGGGTGAGTGTGGTGGGAGGCGTCATGTGCATGTAGAGCTGCGGCGATAGCTTCAGAGCTCTCAGCTCCAGGACTTCTTTCTGCAGCCTTCTGTTCTCTTCCGTGAGGTCTTGGCAGCACCTTCTGAGGAGCTCGCAGTCCACCTCCGTCTGCTTCAACTTCGTCCTGGATGATCAACAACAACAACAACAACAACAACACTTGGTAGCATCGGATGATTCGACTGGATATGAATCTTCCAAGTAGGATAAAAGTGTTTGGTCTAAGCACCTCGCCCTCCTGTTTTGGAACCACACTTCCACTTGCCTTGGCCTCAGATTCAGTTGCTTAGCCAACGCAAGCTTCTGCTTCTGTTAATTGCCAGAGACAAACACATAAATCCTTGTAGGCATTCTCAAAGAAAACCCTACTGGTGCGAGACTAAGATGGCTCACAGGGTTGAGGGTGCTGTGTTCTTTGAAGCTCTCTTCGAGGATGGCGGATTGGTCCTTGGATAGTCGAAGCTTCTTACGGCAGCCATCGCCGTCATCCTCCTCGTCGCTGACGCCCCTGGAGCCTGCTTCGCGCTCCGTTGACCTCTTCGCGGTGGCACTCGAGGCCCTGCTGTTGGGAGACGACACCCCTCCGTCCTCCTCGCTGTTCCTCCCTGCTGCCGCCGAGGGCGCTTGATTCACGTCCAAGATCGGTCTGCTTTCTGCATGCATACAGTATACGATCTCAAGACCAGTCGAAAGAAGGATATACATATCGATGTCGTTTACCCGAATGGTCGTGGAGGAGATGACGCCATTGTGCCGGCTTCTGCTGACAGGAGGAAGACGATGGTTGGGAAGCGGAAGAGGAATGCAGGAGACCAGGGAAGCCATTGCTGGAGAAGCTGAGACTGAGGCTGAGGCCCAGGTATTCCTTTTCCATTAGCGCACTACTCTCTAATCTCCCCTTTCTTTCTCTCTTTTCTCGTAATGCCTTTAATCCTTCCTTCACTTGTATCTCCCTTGTTCTCTCTCTCTCTCTAGAGCTGGTGATGGACGAGGGATCCACGGCAGAGACTCGGAATCTGGGTATCACTGGTAGGCGGATGGTCTACTAAATAGTTGGTGTATTCCTGTTGCTTCCAACTCAATCATGACTGGTGCATGTGTGACCGTGCAAGTGCTTCAGTAGTCATTAGCGTCTCAATTATCTCATTCGTCATTCGATTTGTGTGTGCTGTCTACATGATCTTATGATTCCATCTTGAAGCAAATCCGAGACCAAGTCAGTCTGAGGCACTCGCTGACACAGGAGAGGTGTGGGGTCAGCACTGCAGCTTTGACATGACCTGCTGACCCATAACCCTACCTTGTGTTGTCAGCCGAAGGGACGGAGAGAGAACTTTGATCCCATGGCCAACCATTTTGGGATCAGAATCATTGAGTCTGCCATGGATACAACCCTTCTATAATCCCGTATATATTTGTTCTGTATTATATGATCTTACCATCTACGTTGAGATGAACACACACGAATCTCCAAACAAGTAGAAGCAAAATAAGAGGTCTCTCTCTCTCTCTCGCACGCACTTGGTAATGGCGTCAGGGGCGGACCTGCAGCACCTCATGATTGCTATGCGTTGCCTTCGAGTGCCACAGTTCTTACAGCCTGTTGATGCCAATAGGAAATGGGATCCTTAGGAACAGTGCTGACTATTGAGATCCTTATCCAATTTTATCAACGAATAATAATTCCTTTAATCATGATAATTTTCTTTTAATTACGATAAATCATTGTCGTCTTTGGTGTTTATAAGATTTTAATCCTTCTTCATTCTTCAATCGATGTTAAACTAAGACAAATCATTTTTCTGGTTTGGGCCCCACCACGGCACCATTATTGAAATGGGCATGTCATGTGGATCCAAACCCGGCAGCGATGTCGCGCCCGCACGCACGAGTGCTCGTTGCCTGCCCCCACGTGTCTCACCCCAATCATATGCGTGCATGTGAGCCGGTACGACACAGATAGAGGAGTGGCTCCGACATCCTCACACGTGGCCGTCACGTGTCATCGGCCCCTCTCTGTCTCCCTTGATCGTGGCCGACGTCGCAATCCACGACGACTCACGACCGGAGTCACGACTGCCGCCTCGGAGATCTCTCGACCGGCGAGCGATCTACGTCCATCGTGCTTTGCGAGGCGTGCAGCGGCTCGATCGACGCATCTTAGATCCGCGAGACTGCCGTGGCGGCTACAGTCGGCCGACCACCTAATCTTAGGGTGCAATTGAGAACGTACGACTGCCTTGCCCTCTACCAAAACCCAACATCATGATGAACCATCGCAGCATGGCATGTAACATGGAACGAGGACATCGGTAGTGGTGAGGTGGGCCACTGTGTCTCCTCCAAGCTGTGTACGCTCTCACTGTTCATAGTTGCATGGCCATGGCTTCCGATTCCCATGGATGAGATCCCACGTCTGTGGCCATTATTCAAACCTCGGCCATTCTGTCCCTTGTCAAGTGCTTCTTATAGTAATAATAATGTTGTAGAGACCCACATGTGAGGCTGCCTTTGCTAGATCTCACTTTCTGAGGATGAATCACATGACAGCTTAAAGATTCATGTGATGAACTAAGTTGCAGATTAAGTTCTTACAATCTTCTGGTGACTGAATGATGTTTGCATGCATCTCACATTCCCATAGTTGAAGTTTCAAGATGGAGTGAGGGTGAAGTGACACACATTTCATGTAAGAGGCCATAATGGAGCACAGCTTTTGAGGACAGGAACCCTGAAATCTGGTGATCACCATGATCTAATAATGATAGATCCATCAGAGGTTCATACTGATGATGGTCCAGTGGAGTCTTCCCTAAAGGACATACAGCATGCATACAGCAACATGAGTCCATGGGAATCCCACAATCAATTTTCTTTTCTGCTTACATTATCATTGCCTTTCTGAAAAAGTATATGTATTTTTTTTCTTTCCAAGACTTCCTTTTTTTCTTGGTGATTGGATGCATATTTGTGATGTCGAATCCCCCTCACTACTTGATGTGACTTCCACTCACATAACTGTGTGACTTCCGGATGGTGTTCAGTTCTTTACAAGCCAAATCATTTCAGTGCTCTTCTTTCCTGCAGTTGTACAGATGGAAACAATGATGAAGCAAGAAATCTGATGCTCTTAGCACCATTACAATCAAATGGGAGCCTGAGATGTAGTTCTGATGCTGTCACATCTTTTCCAAGTTGCCGAGGGAATTATTCCCTCTCAAATGATAGATAGGGTGTCGGAAGTTTGTCTGTCGCAGCTTTGGAGGAGAACAACCTTTGGATTACCTTGTGTGTCTCCAGTTGACCTGATGGCCATTGTGGCAGGCATGTGATTGATGGAGTTCCTTCGGCCAAACTGGACTCTGGCTTGTCACCTCTCTCTCTCTCTCTCTCTCTCACTCCCACAGCCAGCAAAGCTCTGAAGAGAATAGTACATGCAGAAAAAGTTGGAATAAACAGAGATCATGAAACTGTAATTTAGCTGTTATTTGATGTAAAGTCTGGCATCAAAATGCTCACAAATCAGATATGGTGCGCAAAGAAGAGCTGGTTATCTAAACCAGCAGTGTCATTGATGGCAAAGTCAATAAGCAAACATTCATACAAACACTAGCAAATTAGAATAATTCAAATGACTTGATTCACAAAAATTGATGAGAATACATTCAGGAAAATCTTGTTTTCCGATCATACTATTCAATTTTGGACTGCTAGTGAGGAAAAAAAAATCTCATGGCTGATTCGTTTCGTATAACAACACAAAACATTCATACTACTCTACACATTTCTCTACAATGTCATCTTCTGCTCTAAACATGTTTTTCTGGGCATTTTTATATTTACAGAGACTCTGCACTACTGTCATAGCAGCAGTACCAAAACATTCTTTGACTTAATTGACGTGGATATGTAGGGCGAAAGAGCAACATGGCTTTCCAAGATGGATGGATCGTCATGGTGTCATTGAGTTCTAGCCTTCCAATCAATGATTGCAGATAGAAGAGAATTGTCTGGTATGAGCTCTTTATTGGGCAATGGTAAATTTGTCATCGGTGAATTTTCGTTCCAGCTGAGCCATGCCCCGATTGCATACCGATCGTATGTGTAACCATCAGCAGCGATGCAGGGATCATCCATCACAGTCTGCAAAATATTCAGGGATGTGCTTTTAGCACAACATACTTGTAAAGCATATCCAATTCAATTGAGAAGTGCAACAAAATTAGATTTTAAGTGGCATCACATGTTTGTAGTAAGTTAACAGGGTGAACGAATACCTTCTGTATTGGACAGATGAAATGCTTTGGAGGAACAGAGGGGTCACGTAGTGAAACATGAGCCTGTGCCATTGTATCTTTTAACCTCTCTAACACTGGAAGAACCTGATCCTTCAATTCAGGCCTATCCTTGCGCCTCATCTCTAAACACCTTAGTCCGAGATTAGCAAGTTCTTTCGCCCCTGCTTCAGGCCACCGTCCAGCCTTAGAATCCAAAATATCCATCAAACAGTCCGTTTCCAATGCAGTTTCGATGGCAAAAGCAAGTCCCATTGGTGATTTTGCAGTCAGCAACTCTAAGATCACCATTCCTAGTGCATAGGTATCAGACTTGGCTGACACCAAACCAGTTCTCTGGTACTCGGGATCCATGTAGAAAAATGTACCAACAGGTGCAGTGTCCTTGTACATTGTAGACAAAGGCACATTGGATGTAGGAATTAAAGTGGAAAGTCCAGCATCACCAATCTTGCTCACAAAGTTAGTGTCAAGCAAAATGTTGGCAGGTTTAAGATCCCGGTGTATGATAGGTTCTGGTCTCGAGTTATGTAGAAAGATAAGAGCAGACGCAACTTCCCATGCTATACGAAAGCGATGAAACCATGGAAGTGGGAGTGTATCATTTTTGCACTGTAATCTGTCCTCCAGGCTACCATTTTCCATATATTCATAAACAATGCAGCCCTTGTCAGGGCATGCACCAAGCAGCAGGAGCACGTGTGGATGACAAACTCTACTAAGAACCTCAAGCTGGAATGTTGGATATACGCATTAGATTGGAGGAAACTAAGGAGAAACTAAGGAAAAATATATACTACCTCTTGATTGAACTGCCTGGTGTTAGAACCCTCACTGGAGTGCAATACTTTCACTGCAGCAACTGTATGATGGAAAATTCCCTTGTAAACAGTTCCATTTGCTCCAACTCCAATCTTGAGAGCATCAGAGAATGATAAGGTAGCATCAACTATCTCTTCCCAATTGTACTTCATATAAGGCTCACTACTACATGCAAGCTCCCTTTCAGGAGTTTGCTTCTCACTGTCTTCATGTCTTTCATTTTCTAGTTGAGCGATCTTACTGGTCATCTCTAATCTAGACCTTGTTTCATGGAGTTTAAATATTTCCTCACTGTCGTGCTCATGTATGTCATGCAGCTGGCCAACCCAAAATTTCACAAATTAAAGCAAACAAATTTCAATTATCTATTTAGAATTTTTTTATAATAAAAGAAAAAGCTCACTTGTTGGGAAGCAGAATGCAACTCATTCGGAGCAAATTTAAACAACCCCATAGGATGCCTGAGTTGTGTTCTCAGCTTCTCGAGCTCAAGATCTATGTCTCCCTGCATGGTAGAGGATTGAGAGTAAACAAACTAGTCAACATATACAAAAAATTCTTGTGACCTGAAAACTTCATTTTAGATGTAGGACTCTGCAGTTGGTAGAATTGTGTACACTAGGCTTTGGAAAGCAAATTTAGTTACCTCATTTCCTGATGGTGAATATTCTTTTGAACTATGGGATGTCGAACTCGTAGTAAAATTCCATGACTTAACCGTTTGATAGCTTCTCAGACTAGCTATACTGTTACTGTATTGACTCTCTGATACATAAGAACTGGAAATTCTAGAATCTTCAAGCAGAGACATGTTTCCAGTTAGAAGAGTATCAACTGAATTGGATCTACCATAATCTTTACTGATAAAGGCTTCCTGCTGAAGTTGTGGCAGACAAGTGAGCCGAAAGGAGGACTTTACTTCTGCACCCGAGCCTATCAATTATGCACAAAATAAAAACTAATTGTAAGAGTAGTAAAAAAATCTAAAGAAAACATATGCCAGTGCCACAATCATCATGAGCAGAAGATTATGTTTGACTCTGCACAGCAATGATCTGTTGGCCAGCAGAATTACACTGCATTTTGTTTTCCCTACAAATTTTATCTAGCATGTTTAAATGGAGGTGAGTTTTGACTCTTCTGTTTGGAAAAAAAAATTGAAATCCCTAAGAATTCCTCCATTAAAGAAAGTGTGTAGTAGCTCTCTTTTACATTTAAATTGATCACAGCCATAAACACCCTGAATCTGCAACTAAAAATTTGATGCGACAACATCATTTACATTTGGTGTGAACAATATCTAAAATGGGAACTTGAAAATTAATCTTTAGTTATATAATGAACAATTGGAAAGCTGTCAGGTTATGGTCTCTTCTTCTTCGAGGGAAATTAGTGCCTCCAAGTGAACGAGTGGGAATAATTAACCTAAGCTAAAACTCTTATAAAGGCTTGGTAGGATAATAAGTCAAAAACACACCCCAATGGCTTGCATGATCTATATATATGGAGGGGTTCGGGGGAAAGGAGAGTTGATCTTGTCACTTCAGAGGCATCTAGAACTCTTAAATATGGAATCTTAATAGTAAAATAACTTGTTTATCATAGATTATACCCTTACTCATACTTGGCACACTGATTAAACTCAAAATAGGTCTCCTTTGGCCACTAAACTAGGTAATGACCAAAAAGGCCCTGATCACATGTCCTTTTCAAAGAAATTTATGTTAGACCGTAGACGACCATCTGAGGGATTCCTTGGGTCCCCATGATTGGCCCAGTTAAAGGTAGTGACCTGCCAACTGTAAAGCCCTTATGTTGGGCTGTGGAACCCTCCCGTGTGGCTGGTCATGAGGGGAAGTGGCCAATCGTAGCATGAGTCCAGTTAGGAGGATGTTTTTTCAGGCCACTCCATAACAAAGGCTCTTATGGAACTCATCTTTGACAGTCCCAAAACTTCACATAATTATTTAGACTAAGTGCTAATAGAACTCATCTTTGGTAGTCCCGAAAGTTCACATAATTATTTATATTGAGTGTAAATTGTATGCCTAGTGACAATTGAGAAGAACATATAGTACAAGCCTATATCTGGAAAATTTCATAACCAAGATATGGGTAATAGATCCATGTCTCTTCACTCCAACATCTTCAGCAGCAGAAGAAAACAGACTGACCTCAGTGACACGTCCTAAGAGTCGATGACAAGGGATTAAGCAACAGGATACTCATTGCAATATCTACCATCTTTTTGGAGTTTTTGGATGCAAATGATCTGAAGTTTCTCTACTTCTACTTCTTAAGTATTTAGCCACTTTTTTCTTTGTCAATCAGTGATTCAGTTCTATGTCTGTCATTTAGAATACTGCTCAAGTTAATTGCATATGGTGCAGAGGAGACAGTTCATTACCTGATATAGGATTTCTAGAATTGCTTGAAAAACTGCTAGAAAGTCCACTGGAATCATTTTCTTCTTTAGCACTATCATCTGTTATTGATGTGGATGCAGTCTCATCCATCTCAGATACCGATGCACAAATAGATGACAGTTTACCCTTTGAGACAACATAAACTGTGCAAAAGCTTGGCTTACATTCGGCAATTCTGGTTGGCAAGTTGCTTCCCTTAAACTTCCTACAGCAATATGCATCATAAACTTTGTGGTTTTAATGAAATAAACATCAAAAGATTCTTACTAGATCAGAAAAAATAAATATGGACATCAAGTGTTTGTGCATTCATGCAATGAGAATGGGGACCAAAGAGAGAAAAAGATTGAACAGTTTACTAAAAACTATGAAAGATAGCATGTACAGAAGTTTACCAAAAACTACAAGAGAAAAAAAATGACAATATACAAAGAACAAAAATATGATATTTTCACCAATAACCAAAATTCCATAATCTGGTGATTAAAAGGTATCTCAATTTGTAAAGCTCCTGAAAAGTTCAGGGTCTGTACAGACCAGTCTGTGCAACCTTAACTCGACATATGGATGAACGAAGCTTCTTGAATGTGAAAACTCATAGGAAGGTTAATTTTGGACGGAAAGGAAAGCCATGAAAAAATTATCAAGATTAATACCGCAGTGCTCGGTAAAGACTTGCTTAGCTTTTAATACTTTTAGTGGGATTAGTGTACCCTGTACAAAACTACAAAGTTTATTAAATTACATTTCTGTAAAGGCTGAATGACACAATATATACAAGAAAAAAATCATAGATATCCTAGAGAAAAACATAAAAAACAGGTAGACAAGCCCAGTGATTTCCTATAAGATATTCCATTACATTAGAATCCAAGCATTTGGTATTTATTTAAAAATGTATATTTAGATAATTAGCAAAAGGTCCCAATTGCATCATGTAATAAAAGAGCCACAGATCTTGATTTTAGAACCAAATTTGCTACAGGCATAAATTAGCATCTTAAAACTAGCAGTTGCATGTGACACTAATTTCATGTAAGCTTTGATCTTGTCTTTGTAGTTTAGGACACTTAAAAAATTAAATAACAATTTGTCAGAGCACATATTGCAAGCCAATTCAAAAACTTCTACATGTAAGAAAGTTTCAAATTGCAAGATTTGGTAATATATTCGTCCAGGGTTCGGTTTTAGCTATGTTGGGCGATATCCACTATAACTCAACTTATGTAAAGTACATGGTCTTTTTGCAAATTCCAGGTTCTCTAATTGGGAGAGTCTTGGTGCATTTGTTTTCTGTTAGAAAGGCATAATTGATACATGAGCCTTCACTATAAAGTCTAGAGGTTAAACAAGAGTATACTGATCAAAACAAAATTTCCTTTCACCACCAACTCATCTCGTCACTTTCACTTCTTACTCTTTTTATCCTACGTCTACTTGCCTTTTAATTTCATTAAAACTGTGGTTCTATCAAATTACCCTTGCAGAAATCCATTACCCATTATATCAATCTGCCTTTTATTTTCATTGAAGTTGTGTTCTATCAAATTAACCCCATGGAACTGCATTACCCATTATATCAATCCCAAACTGGACTAAGTTGAAACCCAGCTCATGGGTGTGGCATCCTAAAAAGTAAGGTGATGTCTAGAAGAGGCCCCTCAAAAAAAAAAAAAAAGAAGCCAATTCTGAATTTTCTTCAATACATTTCTGCTTGATTTCTTAGAGCAATGCGTTATGAAAGTGTCAACAAATCTCTGTTCCTAACTAATTGGTGAAAACTGGGAGTTATAGTACCTCATTAATGCATTTCTGGAAGAAGCACCTATCACAAGCTTGCTGATAGAATTTTCTGTGACCTCTTTTGCTATCGCTTCAGCTACATCATCTGCCTCAAGTACCACAACTTTGGTTTCGATCTGCATATATTGTCCAAATATACCTTAATCAAATCTTTTTCTTAATTTAAGAAAATAAGGTAATGGAACAAGTTGGACCTGGTTTTGTAAACACATATCCTTGTAGGGACGAAGCATTGTTTGGGTTCTCCATCCTTGTTCCTTCCTATATGCAGAGGCAACATCTTCTCGCACTTGATTAACAGGGAGATTCCCCACTAAAATAATAGACATGTTATAAGTAGAACGACATATCAAATGAGCGATTATCAGGGATTCCAAATAATGTTTAAGCTAAAAAATCACGAAAATTCCAATGTCTGCGGCAACAGAAAACTTGTAAGAAAAAGATCAAATTGTTTAAGAAAATGCTTAATGTAGGACTGAATTTAAGATTAGGTTTCAGCTAAGTATGGTTCTGGATCAAGGCAGTTATTTTAAGATGTTTCCTCTGAATTTTCATCCTTAGTTTTAGTAATTACTTTGGTGAGTTTGTTGTTTTTTCTTTTTTCAAAGAGTACAAATGTCCTGTTGTGGTGTATTCTTAAAAGAAAAGAAAATTTGTCATCTCATTTGAAAAATATTAAAATTCATTAAATTAAATTGCAAATCCCACTAGAATCCCACTAATTGAACCTAACTATTGGATGGATATATCTGAAAGCCAAAATGCAGAAAAGAAGGACAAGACAGATCAAAGAAGACACAGGTGTGGATAAAGATACTGAAACAAATATCCATAAGTGGAATACTTGACCAGGGGCAAAAATGATACAAAGCATCCGCGTAAAATAAAGTTACACAAAACAAATTTCCTCCACTCTATTTTTTCTTTCACTGTTTTTCTCTCTTTCCAGAAAAATTGTTGCATTTCCATTAACAATTCGAATTGACCCTTCTTAACAGATGGGCTCACTTAAAATCCAAATCAAACTATACTCCTTGTCCAAACAAAACTGCATGGCACTTTCTCACTAAAAATGAACTAGAGAGGGAAAGCAGACATGCTCTTCAAGAAGATATGCATCCAGCGAAAATACATGGAGCAACAGTTGCAATATCTGGAGCTGAACAGATTCAGCTATTACGGCCTGCTACCTTTAGCAAATTTGAAGAAAGCAACTCACGGTTTCCAGAGATGAGAAGGGAACATAACAAATAAGAGGAACAGGACCAAGATGTCATTATACTTTACAGGATGAAACAAGTCAATAAATTATAAGTAGCTGGTCCTAAGTATCAAAAATGGAACCAACATACTAAAAAGCAAGTTTCACTGGATTATACAAGAATGTGCTGGTAATCAGACTGAGAACTTCCCTGACCTCTATATGCATCAATCAAATTTCATAGGCATCTGGATCTATTACAATGAACAATACAAGAATTGTCATACTGAAAGATCATAATTTGTAATTTCAAACATTTTAAAGGACAAGTGTCATTGCCTTTCTCTCTCTACGAAATAAGTTTGTTTGTCACTTGGTTCACCTGAATTTATTATGATATTACAAGAGAACTAAACTGATAAATCTCAAATACTTCAGGGATTCTTCATGTCAATCAACACAGAGCTGCCCAGAAACAATGTTGTGTGCTAGAAAGTGGCATAGCTTCATAGGTTCTCTGCAATATCAAATAATTCAGGTTGATGTGTCTATTAATCAACAGACATCCTCCTGAAGGATGTGTACACATCCACAACTAGCAAGCTTGATTATGGGAATGTAAGAAGTTTCATTTTTCTAGGTTCAAAGATGTGCCTACTCAAGCTTGCGAATTGTGGATTAGGAGCATGGCTTTACTTTATGCACACAACTGCATGTCTATTGTTAACCATTTTTGTGTGATAGTCAAGCTTGGAAAATGAGGATTAGGAGCACAGATTTCATCTTTGGCCGTGTCTCAAGGATTCTGGTGTTACTTGTTTATTCTTTTTACAAATAATGCACATTGTTCTAACAAAGTAATTGGAAAAAGAAAAAAAAAGAGAATTCCTTGACATAGATGGCATGGCCACTACAAGAGTTAGATCTGCTGTCATGACTTACTTGGTGTTGGAATCATCTTAATCCTTGGCCGAACATGTAGGAGTTTAAACATAACTCTACCCTCATCTCTGAATTTATTCAGAGCCCACTGGATCACATACTTGCTTTTTTTTGTCCCATCTATGGCAAGTGCAACCGTAGAAAGTGAATCATGCACCAATCTGTTACCTTCTTCCATCTCTCCAATACTGAAATCTTTGCCTTCTTCCTTTTCCACAATCTGATTATTACACATCTTTCTTTACTTGCAAAAAGAGTTAAGAAAGGTAAAGACAAAGAAGTATCAGCTATCATGCAGTTAATGTTTACCACATGAAATTATTTCAAGCTAGAAGATAGTAAGATATTGTAGACAGTATTGAATGCATTCAAAACATAAAAAAACTCATCTAAATTTATGTACTACAAACAGGTTTTAAACTTGAAATGGAAAGAGTTTTGTCAACCCATAGCACAATGGACCAATAATCTTAAACAGAAGTAAGGTCACAAGGCACAGCTTGGACAGAACTGGGAAGAAGATAGAAGAAATGGATGATAGAAAAATGAAAATTTCCCCTAAATTATAGAAAGAAAAGGAGTAAACAGACCTCTCTCAGAACTCAATCATCTCCTCCCAACAAGTGGATGTACATTTTGGGTGAAGAGGCACTCCTCCCTTTTCTCTTATCGAACTAACAGTCTAATCGGAAGAAAACAATCGAAAAACCCCTTCTCAACAGCAGGCAAAAACAGAAGATATGAAACCCTTTTTCTGAAATAAATAAAAAAGAATCCCAAAAAATTGAGAGAATGAAAACCCAAGTAAACAATATAAGAAAACCACAAACACAGCACAACCAAGTCACTCCAAGAAACATGTTTTACTTATGCCAAATTGATCTTCGGATATTAAATCGACTCAAGATGAAGAGAAAGAGAAGCAAAAGGCATCTAACCACGAACGCAGACCAAGATGAAGGGGCAAAAAACATCTTTCATCCTACAAAGCACTTGTCGACACAAACCCAACATAGGACAGCAGAAAAAGAAGTAAAACGACAGCGAAGAACTCCAAATCACACGAAGAAACCGGCGAGCAAAGATTCCAACAAAAAGCACAAAGTTCCTCCCGGATACCTTTTACGCCGCTTCACACCGTCGGAAGAGACCAACCAAAAAGGCCATCAAAATCGCACCTTTAAGGGATATTAAACATCAAAATCTCCTTTTGAAAGTGGAAGAATCGCCTCATCCAAGCAGAGGACGCGACCGCTACCAAACCGTGCCATACTGGCGACTTTAATGCTCCGAAGACTCAGAAATGGCAAAAGACAAAAAGTAAATAAATTAATCGGGAAACTTACTAAATCTCTCCCACAGTTGTTCGTGATGAACTCATGATTGGTGGAGCAAAATTCCAACTTTTTCTTTCTCAGTAAATGGCTTCTAAGTTTTGCATATATGCACCAAAGACAAAGGCTTCGCGTGATGTGAACCATATGGTTGGCTCACACACATCAAATAGCCACTAGGCGAGACCACAATGCCCCCATTTCGCTTTACATGGTCAACCTTGACAACATTAAATCACAGTTTCCTTTATCGTAGAGTAAAATAGATGGATAGAAATAAAAGATCATGTCACGGGAACCAGTCTTTTGTTCACAAAATTTCTTGAATGAATGATGCCCATAAATTCCTACCCAAGCCTTGTGATGGTGTAGAAACCCCCCTAAGAACTTATCTTCACAGTCAAATTCTATGGATCTCTAAACACTGTCAATTCCCAGTTAGAAGATTTAGCTAACACGAGATGTATTCATAGATACATAATACGTAAGAGCGTTACAATAGAAAGAACTGCATCGATTGGATGTTCACCATGCAAAGGCAAAAGTTGACTGGAAGGTCAACTTGAAGTAACCCAAAAGTTTCCTGTCATGTGCTGTTATATCGGATCTAGAAGTCGCAAGCTTTTATCTTGTGGGTCGCCGTTGACTACGTCTACTCGATGATTGGCTCCGATAAAAAGAAGATGAAGATGCAGGCTTTTTATATTAGAGAGAGAGAGAGAACGTTGAAAAGTCGATGACTATGCAGGGACGAAAGTAGCTGCAAAATTTGAAGACGAAACAACCTCGAAGGGGATGTCCTCTTGGGAATCTGAAGTTCATATGACCCCACGCGTCTTGTGTTTGTTCCCTTGAGAAGTTTGACTTGGATTTGGAAGAAAGATATAAAATCTGAATGCTACAGTTATATGTAATATTCTTCTGGAAGATCATGACCTCATCTCCTTCTTCCCCATTAAGCAACAGTTTCACGCTGGTCATAATTTAACAGAGAGCCAGACCTAATCCCAAGCTCTCATATGCCAAGACAATCATTTGGTCAACTCTAAGATTGCTGTCATCAGTCTTCATCGACACTCCTTGGAATCCAAGTAAACGTATATCAGTCAAACCAATGGAGGCCTGTGTGGCTCAACAAAAGAAGGACTACTAGTCTTGGTCTCCATGTGCAAGGTGCCCCTGGCCGCTTAGCACCCTTGGCCGGACAGGGATTCCTGGCCGCAAGGGTTGCTCTCGGCCAAGCAGCCCTTGGCCTGGCCGAGACCAGCAAGGGTTGCTCTCGCCCAAGCAGCCCTTGGCAAGGTCGGCCAAGGCTGTAGGTCAGCACCATTGCTGCCCTTTTCCCCCTTTTCCCGTTAATCTTTTGACGAAAAATCATTGATCATCTGAGCGTTTCAGCCGCCAAAAAAATACATGCTATCCTAATCTTGAAATCAGCAAAAAAAAAGAAAAAGAAAAAGTAATTAGTTTACGAGTAAACTGATTTACGTAGTAAATAATCGATCATCGTATGAACAACCTAGCTCTGATACCATATCGAGATACACATAATGGACGTAATAACGACACACCTCGTGTGACAGGTTCTTTATTCGCGATCGCGCACCACCACGCAGTACCAAACAAGGAGGGATCGATTCCTTTTGCTGTCCTCTCGCACTAATGGATCATTTCTTAATGCGTATTGGATCTTCATTCAATTACCTTTGGCTTAATGGATGTTGAATCCTTATCCAATAATTACTTTAAGTTCTATTAGGTCATACCCAATGGATCCAATAAAACATGGACTTATTGAATATCATATATCTAATCATCTATTCGTTGTGTCGTCCACCATATGTGTGTAACCCTTTAGGCCCAATACCAAGTTGGTCGTGAGTTACATCTATCAAAATTTCTTTTGACTTAAAACTCCTTCTGACTTAGTAAATTATTATCTGTTAGTCATAAGTGTCATACAAACTAATCATATGATTAATGACATGTGTAACATGACACACACTCTTTTTTATTTATTATATTATTTGATATTTTATCACTTTATATTATCGATTGCATGAATATATTGTGATGTCTATGAATCTATGCAATGAGAATCAAATCGTGATGAGATCACGATAATGAAATCGATTCACTTTTAAACACAAACCCTAAATAATCTCAGTCATAGGTTACTTGAGAGGGATATCGAGATAACTAGATAGACTGGTGTACTGTATACCCGTCCATATGATGAAGACGACTAGTCTCAACTCATGTGGGGATACTAAGGATACAGTGCAGGTGCTTATTAGAGAATGTGTTTACCGATTAATCCGCTCACGGAATGCTAGATGGTTAATTATGCCTTATTGTTAGATAGTGATTTTATCGTCACAGTTGTGTATTTGGTCCTTAGACTTGAGACACCAAGAATGTCCTATATAAGTACTTCACTCTTTGATGTCGAACTTATATGCATGGAAGTTCCAGATCTAACATAGTTGGTCATCGAGAGTGGCAGCAAACTTTTCGAGGGCTATTAAGTATCAATAGAGGATCATCCACTCTCGGTGTTATGAGAGAAATATTTCATGTGTTCTTGCTTAGACAAATCCCTAGCCATGGTCATTCGGATTAAGAGAGAAAGAGTTCTTCGGGAGAATCCGATTATAGTAAGACTCGAGTAGAAACCATATGAGCCTTACAACACTATATCCGGTATATGGTCTTTGGGATATTAGATGAATGAAGGACTATAGATATACGATAATCGAGGACAAATATGTCCAAAGGATTGGATTCCCCTGTATCATCTGGAGACTACGGCGTAGTGGTCTAGTATATCCACAATCGATAGGTCGAGTGAATTATTATAAAGATAATAATACATTAAGTCAAAATGAGTTCTGATATGTATGACTCATGGCCAGGTTGATATTGGGCCTAAAGGGTCATACACTTATGGTAGGTGTTGCGATGAATAGAGTTTCAGATATGAGATATCTGTTGGAACCCATATTTTATTGGATATCTAATAAGCCCCTGAATTATTGGATCCTAGGGATGAGATACAATAAGAGGTAGTAAGATATTATTGGGTAGAGACCCACTAATATAAAAAACTTGAATAGTAATATGGAGATCCAATACCCAATATGTTATGATCCATTAGGGTAAGTTGATAAGGGACCTCTATAAATAAGAGGGAACTAAAGAGCCATGAGCTAAGTTCTTTTTTGTTATCACCTCCTATTCTCCTCTCCCTTTCTCCTCCTCAACTAATAGGTGTGGAGATTTGAGCAACAATTTGAGGAGCGTCTTTACGACCCTTATCATGTGGATCACTACTAAATAGGAGGATAGTTGACATCCTTTATCCTCTCTCATAGATCTGTAGGTTTTCATGGATATACGATCTCCCCAAGTAACACATCTTTTTTATATACATAATTTTTTATTTCGTGGGGTTTTACGCATCAATCTTCACATGACAATGAATACTTTTTTTAGAAAATATAAGATTTTAATTTATTGTTCTTTCGTTGTACATATGATGTTACCCTTAAATTTTCATACATTATCTCTATAATAATTCACTCAACTCATCAACTATGGATTTTTTGAGCTATTACACCATAGTCTTCAAACAGGATAGGGGGATCTAATCCATTAGACCTGTTTATCCTCAGTTATTATGTATTTATAATCTTTTATCTATCCAATATCTTAGAGACCGTATACCGGGCATGGTGCTGTCAGGCTCAAACAAAATCGATTCGAGTCTCACTCTTATCAGATTCTCTCGGAGAACTCATCTTTCAATCCGAGTCTTGCTCTTATCAAATTCTCTCAATCCAATTGATATTGGCCAGAGATTTGCTGGAGTGAAAATACACGAGATATTCCTCTCATGATACTGAGAGTTGATGATCCTCTATTGACACTCAATTGCCTTCGTAAGATTGGTTGTCATTCTCAATGATCATTTGTATTAGATCTGAAACCTCGAGAACTATAAGTTTGATATCAAAGAACAAAATACTCAAATAATGCATCATTGGTGTCTCAAGTCGAACGACTAAATACACAATTGGACTACAGAATCACTATCTAACTATGATATATTATTAACCATCCAATATTTCATAAGTGGATCATTTAGTGAACTCATTCTTTAATAAGCACCCACACTATATCCCTAGTGTCTCCACATAAGCAACTATGAGACCAATTGTCTTCATTATATGAACGGGTATATAGCATATCGATCTGTCCGGTTATCTCGATGGCTCTCTCCAATAATCTATGACTAGAAATATTTAGGAGTTATGTTTAAATGTGAATTGGTTTCACCATGATCTCATGGTGATCCAATTCTTATTGTACATATCTAAGAACATTACAATATATATTCATCACATAATATAAAGTAAAAAATATTATTATTAATATTAACTATCATATAACATCATTATTAATATTAACACAGAGATACCACGTATCCAACACGTCAGCCCAATACGGCGAACACACCAACACTGCACCGTCGACATGCCAAGGTCATGTGGCCGGCACATTGGTAGCACTAAGCCAATGATCCGACTCCACAAAGCTGACTCATAAATATCACGAGACGGACATGCCGAGATCACGCGGTTGACACATCGACGCCACGTAGCAGACACTGTGGCATTGAGTGGTTGGCAAGTCGGATCCGCATAATTGAACACCCTACGTCACCTCAATGTCACGTGGTCGCCATACAATTCCTACCACGTGTCAAGAAGTTATGCATTCTTGAATTCAGCGTAGGCTGACGACGATTACACTTGAGACCGACGCTCCATGTTTGCACGAGCAGCACACCATCTAAAGGTAACTAAGCTCCCACTATTAAAGGGACAAATCGACTTGTCCATTGACTTCGGTGTCAAAGAGGTATTTTCGAGAGTATGTGATGCATTTTGTAGGGTTCAACGACTGCAGACAAATTCAACTTTGAGATCGGCTTAAGAGAAGGACCATGTTAAATCCAATTCGACTTTTACATCGGGTAATCAAAAACTGATTTAACTCGATCGAGAAAGGTCGATGTTCACCAACAAAACAAAACGGAGATGAAGGCATGTCGATGTCCACAATTTAACATCACTTTTAGTCAATGCAAACAGTCCTTGTTCCACTCAATCAGAAAAGGTTGATGAAGCATCAGTATCATGTTGACGGATGGCTTTTGAGGTCTCCAGAATCCTCCAATGCCGTCCTCACCGGGATAGTTTTGGCTGATACTGCAGCTCTTGAACACGTAACTCCTTACACCGTGAAGAACATTTTCCTTCACGTCTGGTGAGATTCACAGGACAAGATTCGTAAAGCAGACGGTGTGCGGACACTGAGAAAATGATGGGAATTTAGACAGGACGAGGAAGAGTGATATAAATGGATTCCACACTAGGCATGAGGCATAATGATTGGTGTTCTGGGCTTCTGCAAGGACTGCAAGAGGTTTGGTGGGGGTGTTAGGTGAGACCTTCTTGCAGTCATGGCTACAAGAAGTGATCAATCTATCCTCATAAAAGAACAAATGGGTCACACACACATGCTGTAAGTTTCAGGCGACACAAGGGACGTATGAAACATGGTATTAAATCCCAATCCCAGCAATCAAGCTAAGAAGAGATAGCTTCTTGATGCAAGAGAACAAGGTTAGGAAGCCCCATCTGATTGCCACCTAATACAACAAAACTGAGAGCCTTTCTTATGCATTGATACATTGCCACATTGTTGGAGTAGGTTGTGTTGCTGTGAGTTCTAAGAGGACTAATCATGTTCATCATCTAAATTACATGGTTATTATACTCTGAACCATCACAAGACAGTCTTTGTCTCTTGCACACTTGGTTACCTCTCCTTGAAAATGAAGCAAACTCTACAGAAAACTGGCAGCCCGATGTGTATAACAGCATAAAGCAGATCAGAGTGTGAGTCTCACTTTAGATTATCTTCTTTGGCATGGAAGGTTAGACGGCACTTCTCATTAGGTGTAATCCTGATTAATCTAATGAAAGCATGAGATGATGATTCAGAGAATTAGAATATGCCAACACACAAGACAACTTCAAAGCTTAGTTCTTTGGTGCAGTTCAAAGTGCCTTCTCTAAGGTCATGAAGAACATCTCTCCAAGTGCTGATGTGAGAGGAATAGATATGATGCATGATACTGCCTAGCAGCCCACATTATTACAGGAATAATGTGACTGAATTGTCTCTACATGAGCATGAGTGCATGAATTTGTTTATCTTCCAATAGGTGTTTTCCTGTGACAAAACTTACGCTAGTAGTTGGTCAATCGTTCGTATAAAGATGAAGTACTGCTTTCTATTGTCATCACCCTCATCGGTAGGGACCAAGGAAGGACCTCCAGCCTTAGAAACTTAATGGCAGCACAGTCTCAGGGAAAGCAAAGGCACATGAAGCACACCTGGTCAAAGTGATAAGCTGGTTTTACTACGTCTCTTCAGGAGCAAGGAGGTGGGGGGTAAGAGTTGGTGTTCCAGGAAGGTCGACTCTGAACACCATGGAGGTGGGTAATGTCACTACGACTGCATCACTTTTGCATGGGCCCATCGTCTTGTTCCTTTGTTCTTCTTCTCGGGTTGGGCGTTCATAAAAGTCTGCTGCTGCACTACATTCTCTGCGATCGCTCCACCTTGGTGCCCTCAATCATGGAAGAATCTCTGTGCCGAGATTGTGAAGCTGACACGATCTCGAAAAAGACTGTGAAGAGTGGCTGCAAGCGAGTGGCTCGGACGAACTGCAGCGGCGGCGGCGGTGTTGACGAGGCGAGAAAGGGGAGCAAGGGCGGCAAACATCCGGCGTACCGAGGTGTACGAATGCGTGCCTGGGGCAAATGGGTGTCGGAGATCCGGCAGCCGAGGAAGAAGACGAGGATCTGGCTCGGGACGTTCCCGACGGCGGAGATGGCGGCCAGAGCCCACGACGTGGCGGCGCTATCGATCAAGGGCCAGTCGGCGTGCCTCAACTTCCCCGAACTGGCCGCCGAGCTCCCGCGACCGGCCTCCGCGGCTCCCGAGGACATCCAAGCAGCAGCCGCGCTGGCGGCGTCCATCATGTTCGGTGATCCCCGCCCGGGAACATGCACGAGCGCGGAGTCCGGCCTGAGGCAGACTGAGCTTCCGGTCTCACGATCCCCACCTCCGTTAACCCCATCGAGCGATAGCGACGATGCGCTCTTCGACCTACCGGATCTCTTGCTTGATGTAGGGGAAGGGTTCTGTTACTCCTCGCCATGGGAGAACTGCATGGAGTTTCGACTGGAGGAGCCATTACTATGGGAATACTAATAGACCTGGAAATGAGCCGCAGCTGCAACTGTTCATCTTCTTGTAGAGCTCCTCGTCTGGTGGAATTGAATCCATAGATGAAACACTAGACTGAGCTAGTTGTATTAAACATGTTCAGATAAATGTTAATTCGTATCTTTCGTATCATCTTCTTCATTTGCTGAAACCTTTCATATGATTCTTTGTTATATATATATATATATATATATATATATATATATATATATATATATATATTACTTAATACACCAAATGACATCTAATTGCTTATATTTATAAGAAAATTATATATATATATATATAATTTTTTTTTAGTGACACATTATTGAAATATGTTGAGCCTAAATATAAGCAATTAGATGTCATTTGGTGTCTTAAGTAATCTTAGAAGCATATGTTTAGAGATCTTAAAAGGTTTTGCTTCGGCTGGCCGTGTTCCACTGCATACTCCTAGAGCGCGCATCATCTCTCTACTCTTTTCATTAAGTAATTGAAGCGAACACCTAGACGGCGTTACGATGCACGTCGCGCGAACCTAAACCTGGCTTCCTTCCAGCGAGGTCCACCCGCTCGAGCTCTCTTGCCGCCGCCCCGGCGGAGGTTTTGTCGTCCTCAGACGTCGGCACGGGCGGGGGTCTACATCCTGCCGGAGATCAACTCCCGGTTCGTCCGCCTGGCCGCCAGCCGCAGTTCCACAAGGGGCTCCGCGTCACCGACGCCCTCGCCACGGAAGTTGTGGTGACGATCCTCGTCCGCAAGGTCAACAAATCCTTGTTTCCCTCATCAACAGCGGCAAGGACTAGGGAGTCAGTATTGATGGCCAGGTTCCGCACTCTCTGCGTCTTGGGGTTCTGACAGATGAGAGCGCAGGGATGATGATCACTGGGTGATTGATGGTGCAAATCATGAAAGGCTTGAGGTGGTGATGCTGCTGCTAGTGAAGGTAAAGGTTTCTGTGCCTTTTTCAATTTTGTTCAAGAATAAGCTAATAAGTTATGAATCAATGTAGATTAGTAAGAAATTCATATCAGATAGCTGTTTAATTGGTAAGAAATCAGATAAGATAGTTGTTTGAGTGATCTTTTATCTCTATGTCGATTGTTGCAATAAATGGCCAGCCGATTGATGTTCCCTCTAATTCTTGCTTGAGAAATCTACCAGTAATCACTTCTTCACTTGTTCAAGGACAAGTTAATCAGTTATGCCATTTATGAATGGATGCAAATTAGTAAGAAATCAAATCATATAGTTGTTTGACTGGTCTTTTTTAAGGTTCATTAAATGGCCTGCAGATTCATGTTCTCTCTTTTCATATCCTTTCTTGAAAAAGTGACCATGATTCATAAAATGCAATAGGGAAATTTGTCTTTATACTAGACAGCTCCTTAGCAAGTTATTTTGTGTTCTGTGCTGAATACAATATTGCAATTGTTAATGTGCATAGTGGTGAATTAGACACTGTAAGTTGCCTTTAGTTTCCAATCAGATACATTACCTGGCATTGTTTGTCTTTTTGTCCTTGCCATTCTAACTGCTCCTTTTCGAGAATAGTTTGTCTCCTTACACGGCTTAAAGGAACCGATGAGTTTCCATGGCCTAACTATCAAATATTATGAGAAGAATAATTGATTGTGATGCACAGTTTAATCTCCCAAAGCTAGGGCTGAGCTTTACCACGATGGAAAGCAAGAATCACAAGAGGTTACTATTTTAGCTCAATGGCTTTTCCATAAGAAAAGCTGTGCTGCATGTCCATGCGTGACTAGGGAAGAAACTTGTCTTTACACACTCATTGCCTCTAAATTAATGAATCAGGCAGGGCTCATCCTCATGAAAGGTGGTCCTCTTTCACCAGGGACGTCATTTTGTAGTTTGGGTTGTATAATGCATAAGATCCCAGTCAGAGTACTTCCTCGATAACTTTGGCTCCTTTCAGATAAGCAATGGAAGGTTGCTAACCAGATGAACTATTGCACTAATGACCCATTTAAATTTTCCAAGTTGACCCAAACCTTAAGTAGACTAAAGCACATTGTACCTGCCTCTTCTTCTCCAGCTCTAAATTACCTTATCACATATGTCAATTTTGTTACATAATTCAAGCCAACTAGAACCTAGATATACTGATTTCAGAATGAAGACAGTCTTAAAGATTGTTCCTGGGTATGCATTCTTCTTTGTTATGGTAAAATTACATGCTTTGGGGAAAAAACTGTGCTGTTGAATCTTATAATTTGTCTGCTTAATATCAGAAAATCTGCCTTTGCGGAGTTATTCCACTGATTAAGGTGTGGTGTGCTCAGTAATGAAGTCAAGTTTTTAAGTCCTATAGCATCTGGTGTGCATATTATGTAATGTTTGAATGAAGGGAATAATTATACATATCAGCAGATCTGATAGTAGACTCTCTCTTATACTTTGCTGCAGAACCTAACGTGTTTCCTGAAGTTCAATGTCTATCATGTAAGCTATACGTCGGAGCTTATGGAGCACAAGAATGTGTATCCTGAAGTTCAATGTCTACCATGTAAGCTTGTACGTCAGAGCTTACGGAGCACAAGAATGTGGGATCACAGCTTGTAGAATTAGTTGTCCCTACTGGGCCTCTATATCATCATTTATAGGTGCAGGATAATTTAAACATTTTGCTATATCTCCTACAAAGGTACAAACCTTTAATGAAGGGCAAGGTTATGCGAAGAAAGCAATTGTTCTTTCCTGCATCAAAGATGTTTTTGGTGGGAAAAGCTTGACCAAATGATTGAATTTTGGTTTGGTTTAGTCAAGTAGTTAACTACTTGGTGTTCTGATTTTGATCAATATTTTCTTTGGAGGGCAGAGCTCTGTTTGTCTGAAATGTCTGCCATGGCATGAACTTATCAAAGATATTTTAGCTTTGATGTAAGATTAGTGAAGAACAATATTTTTTTTAAAATTCGTGTGTTCTCTTTTTTTGTTCTTCTTTTCTTTTATAAATTTGTCATCTAAAATGCCATAGCACAGATTTCTTATCCTTTTTTCAACATTATTCCTTTTGTATTATAAGTTGATGTTGTAAAATGCCAGGAAGCAATGTGTTGTTTCATTAAGAACTTGTAACAGCTGCTTGCTCAACATGATTCTTTATCCAACTGACTTGTGCTATCATTTCTTTTATTCTTTTATAAACTCTTTTTTCTTTCAAAAAGGGAACTTTGAATTTGACTTCTACAATGAACAGGGTTTTGTTAAATGATAGAAAAGTATATTTTTGATATCTGCTTCTTTTATTAGACACTTAAAATCGCATTTAAATCAGAAAAATAGCTTTAAATAATTTGTACACTAATGTATGCTGAAGCATTTGGTGTGATTGTTGTTATGGATAGGAACATAAACTGTGTAATGAGTTCATATTAAATTGTTCGTCACTCATTAATGTTATTGCATCTCTGCTTAGTGTGGGCGCCGCAACAAGGCGATGTGGAACCAAATGAGGCATCAACAGGAAATGGTTCCGCGGATTCCAAGGTTGGCATCACTCGGAGCACAGCAAGAGCAAGGAAGATTCCGCAGCATCACGAGGTTCCTCTGCTTGGCGTCGTCTGTCTTCCGGTGATCACAAGCGGCAGGCGCGGTGCAAATTGAATGCGGGGTGACGACAATGGTTCCGCCGCCATCCTCGTCTTGGTTGTTGTCGACGACTCCGTCGACATCATCATGATAATAAAGAAGATTAGAGACGAAATGGACGCACTGCGAATGGCTCTGCTCTTTTCCCCACCGGACACTGCTCTCATTCTTTGCCTCCAACTTGATCTTGACACCACCAAGGAGGGTATACGTCCAAGGAGCGGGCTCCACGGTTTGGCAGTTTGCCGGCACCGCGTCAGAGGCCCTATTCCCACCAAGGACGGCACGTACGAGTGCTCTGTGTCTTTTGCTCCGTCTCTTTCTTCTGTCATGCCCGGTTTGTGTCTTTTCCAACATACAGTGAATGAATACAGAAGCGCCACCTTCTTCCTTTTGCCGAACACTGTTCCTCCGCACCTGGTGATTTACACCAATGGACGTGACCTCACTGGCATAACCACTCTTATAATAACAGTCCCAGTGGATGGCACCTCGCTTATCTCCGAAACCTGCAACATCATGCAAGCCTTTCCAGTCCACCGCCTGCAGCCGCTGCCTCCGTCGACCAAGCTCCTGCCCTTGCCCACCACCGCCTCTGCCCATCGCACCATCCCCTTTGTCTCCTCTGCGGCGGCATCTTCTCCCTCCACCTCCCAGCTCGCCGGCTCTGCCACGGCCCCGGACTCGCCCACCGCGGCATTCTGGGACTACCAGCTGCTCTTCGCCTCCCAGCGGTCGGAGACAGCCGAGCCGGTGCTCCTCCGGGTGGCCCACGGCTCGGTCCCGGTCGACTTCCCTCGGGGCACGTACTACCTGGCTGGCCCGGGCATATTCTCCGACGACCACGGGTCGACCGTAAACCCGCTGGACGGCCACGGGTACCTCCGCGCCTTCGACTTCCGCGGCAGCAGCGATGAGGTCTGGTACTCGGCGCGCTACGTGGCGACGCCGGCGCAGCGGGAGGAGCGGGAGGCGGCGACTGGCCGGTGGCGGTTCACGCATCGGGGGCCCTTCTCGGTGCTGCGGGGCGGCAGGCGGGTGGGGAACCTGAAGGTGATGAAGAACGTGGCTAACACCTCGGTCCTCAAGTGGGGCCCTAGGCTGATGTGCCTGTGGGAGGGCGGGGACCCATACGAGATCGATCCCGCGTCGTTGGATACAGTGGGGCTGGTCGACCTCGTCGGGAGTGATCATGGCGATCGACGGCAGACGGATGGAGGCAGCAGCGGTCGAGCAGTGGACGTCGCCGCACACTTGTTGAAGCCCATATTGCGAGGTGAGAACAGCCGTGCATGCAGCACACCACGTACACAGAGCACGGCAAACTAATAAAGCAAATACAACACATGAGATTTCCTTTCTGCAAGCATAGACTCCGATGCTGGCGCTGACAGGTGAATCGGAAGTGCAGGAGTGTTTAAGATGCCTCCAAAGAGGCTGCTGGCTCACTACAAGATAGATGCCAAGCGGAACAGGCTGCTGATGGTCTCCTGCAACGCTGAAGACATGCTCCTTCCTCGCTCCACCTTCACTTTCTACGGTACGGGATGTGTGTGTGCCAGTTGCAATGTAGGGTTTCAGAAACTACATGTCATGGAACTGCATCGCAGTTTGGGTGTTCAGAAGGCAACTCCAGGCCATGCTGCCTTTGCAGCAGCAAATTTATAGTGTGGCAGAGTCTGGTGTTTAGTCCCTCTGAACTCAAATACTCTGCTTCCAAGTTTCATGCCCTCTTCAAGTAGTTTCTGCAATGTGCTTACTTGCATGTAAATCTACCTGTTGCTCTTGGTGTATCAACCAACAGCCTTTTTCAAGTTCAAAGGCAGGGTGGCCTCATTCTCCTTTGGTGTAAACGTGAGGACGTTTCTGTAACTCATATATCTTAGTCTGATGTATTTGATTTCTTGGCCATGCAGAGTTTGACTATAACTATGAGCTGAAGCAGAAGAAAGAGTTCGTCATCCCTGATCACCTGATGATCCATGACTGGGCCTTCACTGACAGTCACTATGTCCTCCTTGGAAACCGCATCAAGCTTGATATCCCTGGTAAACTATGCTATTCTCTTCTTACAGACCTGCTAAAACTACCATTACATTTCTTTCTGCTTACACTGGTCTATAGTTCTGGAAGCTCAAGTTCTTTCTTCTTATTCCTGAAAATTAGAGGCTCTTCTTGTATGTTGCTCTTTCTTTTGCTGAGCTTTAGGAAAGAACGCTTACCTATGGGATTCTTTTGATACAAAGATGAAACTTCTTTGAGAGTGGCAGGATCGTTACTAGCAGTGTCAGGCCTACACCCAATGATATCAGCACTTGCAGTGAACCCCAGCCAACCCTCAACACCAATTTATGTGCTGCCCCGTTTCTCCCAGAGTCCCATCCGAGACAGGAACTGGCTTGTGCCCATACAAGCTCCATCCCAGAAATGGGCACTGCACACAGGGAATGCATTCGAGGAAAGGGATGGAAATGGGAACTTGAAGATCCAGCTCCAAGCCTCGGTATGCTCCTACCAGTGGTTGAATTTCCACAAGATGTTCGGTAGGTGGTCACTGTATGTTCTGCTTCATTCTATCTATCATTTCTTTTAGCATACACGATGCTGCTTTGTAGGATACAACTGGCGTACAGGAAAGCTTGACCCTTCTTTCATGAACCTGGTTGATGGAAGGGAGGCAATGCTGCCCCATCTGATTCAGGTGAGTTTGGAAGCCCGTGAAGCTAATACCATGTATCGCAGAACGAATGACGCATGCATGCACTTCCAGGTATCGATCGAGTTGGACGCAAAAGGGACTTGCTATGGATTCTCCATAGCAAATCTCTCGAACATATGGAATAGACCTGCAGACTTCCCGGCGATCAATCCATGCTTCTCCGGTCAGAAGAACACTTATGTTTATGTGGGCTCGAGTTCTGGAACCCGGAGATTCTTGCCTCGCTTTCCCTTTGACAGCATAGTTAAGCTGGACTTATCCAATGGATCAGCAAAGTCATGGTCTACCGGCGACCGGATGTTCGTCGGCGAGCCAATTTTTGTTCCCAAAGGCAGAGAGGAAGATGATGGTTACGTTCTCGTTGTTGAGGTGAGGATGTTGTTCTCGCAGTACTTGTGCTTGCCAATCAATTGATATGGATCTTGAGCGCTCTTAATATTATGGCTGATCTCTGCTTTCATCTTGACACCAGTATGCTGTCGCAAAGCAAATGTGTTACCTCGTCATACTGGATGCTAGAAGAATAGGGGAAGCCGAAGCAGTCGTAGCAAAGCTCGAAGTGCCAAAACACCTGACCTTTCCTATCGGCTTCCATGGATTTTGGTCTACCAAATGACAGCAGAAGCTGCAACATATGAGCCTTCATTTCAAGCAGAGCCTAATGGCTTCCACCAATTGTTCACTTCCACAGTCAATTCTGTGATCCAAGTAACAGCTCCATGAATACACTAACATGTATTTGTTGTCGATGATATCTGACCATGTAGTTTATCTCATCCTATCAATAATATGAGATGAATTTATTCTGTTTCTTCATGTTTTCATATTTTGATCTCAGCGAGTACAGATGTATTTTCATAGTTTATCTTCGTCACCTTAGTCACTTTGTAACATCCCATTAGTCTCACATCGGAAATGGACAATGTGCATGATTAGCTTATAAGGGCCTGATGAGTATACTATATTAGTTTCCGCTTAAGCATTTTGGTCACTGAGTTAAACCTCACATGCATTGAATTAAGCATTTTTGGTCCGTGGTTGAAGGATCAAAATAGAGTTATTGACCAGCTGCCTCATCAAACTCGGGTCCCAACCTAGCATTTGGGTAGGGTGAGAGGGCTCGAGTCATCATGGCGTGGAGCCACCACTAAGTTAAACCTCACATGCACTATGCTAGGGTTCAATCTGGGTTATGTCTAATTGAGTTGGGGATATTGTAACATCCCATTAGTCCCACATCGGAAATGGGCAATGTGTATGATTAGCTTATAAGGGCCTGATGAGTATACTAACTTAAGCATTTTGATTCGTGGTTGAAGGATCAAAATAGAGTTATTGGCCAGTTGGCTCATCAGACTCGGGTCGTGACACACTTGATAAATTTTATGAAGGATTATAAGATTATAGAGATTTTTTCAAAGATACTAAGCACCATATGAAGTATGATGAAAGGTTACGAGTCTTTTGATCTTTCTTTCTTTTTATGATCTCTCAACTCCGCCTTCTAAGCTTGAGGTGTAAGAATCTTTTTTTACTTTATTAGACTTTGTAAAAAATTTACATCTTAAATATCTTGATATTTAAGATATTCAGTGATCATAATTCTTGATCTTCGAATCGATATCACAGGCATTGTATAAAGATTTTTTTTCTCGATACAATTTCTTTCTATTCAGATTTTCTCTCTAGAGATTCTTTCTCTAATGGCACATGTTTCTCTTTCTAATAATACTATTTTCATCTTTAATATATATTATTTTCTCTCTCTAATAGATGTTTTTCTCTATAAAATCCAATTCTCTCTCTAGTAGGATCTTAATATAATAACTATGTTAGGAGTAAGCAATTTTAAAAAATCAAGAGAAAGTAGAGAAAACTCTTAATTGAATCGAATCAGAGTCTTACAAACGACTACGATCGATACGATAAGATTTATGAAATCGTACTCATGTTATTTGTGAAATTATAATATTATAATTAGCCATGCAGTTTATCTTACTCTATCAATCATTAGGAGTCATTATTGCAACTAATACTACAATTATGAGCTGACAAGTGGGAGCATTCATACTACTTTAATTGAAACAGACAGACAAACACAATACAGAGAACATTTATTACAAGACATGCAGTCCGCCACTATCCACTATGATCTACTCTTCTTATATGTACATTTATTTGTGACAAGCAGATCAAAGAAGACACAAACAAGACATGAAGACTCCCAAGCCATCTCCGCAACGGCGGGCGCTGCCACCTCAAGGATAGTCCTGAGCTGCTACGGGCTGGTAGGAGCCGATGAAGATGTCACCGTAGATGAGCCCGGCCAGTCCGCCGCCGATGAGTGGCCCCACCCAGTAGACCCAGTTGCCGGCGAAGTCTCCGCTGGCCACCGCGGGGCCGAAGGAGCGCGCCGGGTTCATGGAACCGCCGCTGAATGGCCCGGCCGCCAGGATGTTGGCCCCTACGATGAACCCGATCGCGATGGGTGCCACCGTCCCCAGCGACCCCTTCTTGGGGTCCGCCGCCGTCGCGTACACCGTGTACACCAGCGCGAAGGTGATCACCACCTCCATCACCACCCCCTCCAGCTCGCTCATGCCGGCCGCCACGCCGTGAGTCGGAACAGCCTGCGAACAGCACGTGAAATTGTTGATGACCGGAATTAACACTCGAAAGATGAGGTCAGGTCAGGTCAGGTCGTGGTATGCTTGTATGCGTTCATTACCAATCCGCCGGTGACGAACTTGAGGAGGAGGCAAGCGACGGTGGAGCCGAGGAGCTGGGCGACCCAGTAGAAGATGCCGGTGAGGATGGTGATGTGGCCACCGACGGCGAGGCCGAAGGTGACCGCCGGGTTGAGGTGGCCGCCGGAGATGTTGGCTGCCATGGAGACACCGACGAAGAGGGCCAAGCCATGCGCGAGGGCCACGGCGACCAGGCCCGCCGGGTCCAGCGCTGCACCACCCGTCAGCTTACCTGCAGCAAGAACGAGAAGCATTCAAGCTTTCACTCATTCACAACATTCATTGACTGGTCCATTACACATATGTCTTCCTACCATAAGCGATGGCGGAGCCGACGCCAGCGAACACGAACAGGAGAGTGGCAATGAACTCGGCCAAATAGGACTTGAGAGACACTACGCTGAAGGAGTCACCCAAGCTTCCTAATGCGAGCTTCACCATCTCAGAACAAGGACGAGTTACACCAAGCTCAGCTGCACTCTTCTCCTCTCCTCACTACCTCTTCGGCTTCAGAGTGCAGAGGCCCTGAACCCATGGGGCTTATATAGAGAGATCGACCGAGTCTCGATCGACGGTGCCGTCCATGGAAACGGCGTCGTCGTGGGGGACGTCAGAACAATGTGGGCGGTGAGGGCTAATAGCAGCTGGTGCAATGATTGATGGCCGACCCACCGCCCCAGTTTGGTTTGGTTGTAATGGGAATAATGGGCGTGACGACAGCTGCTGTCTCCATTGGAGGACTTCTCTGTGGCGTGGAAGCTTCAATCTTCGATGGCACTGTCGTTTGCAAGGGCTACAAAGTTGGCAGCTTTGCACAGCCATCCTCCATGACTACAGTGAACTTGTGATACATATGAACTGTTTTGGGTTTCGGATTCATCAGTTGTTGAAGGGTTTGTGCCTATGATGGATGCATACACACAAAGATACAGAAGAAATAATTGCAATCTTGGTATCAAAAATAAGATAGTTTAGAAGGGCAATTATAATGGGTGTCCTCACTTTTTGTTCATGTTCTTTATGATCTGGATAAGATGCTCTTGTGCTTTTGGCCTTAAAGGCTGACATCTTTTATTTGTCTCATGTTAGAGAATTAGTGGCAGTGGTTGGTGTGCACTTTACAGCTGATAATTAGGTATTGTTTGATTATTTTGTGGTGTTATCACCATTCAAATTAATCTATTCATGTGTCTGTTGTAATACTTTGAGGAAATAGCAAGTCACTCATCCCATAATATTTTATGAGGAAATTAATCTGTTCATTCAAATTTGTAGCTTCATTTTTTTTTTCATGGCACTTATAATTAAATAAATTAAAAATTTTGAAGGTCAAATAATTTAATTGATAAAATTTTGACAGTTCATTATAAGATCGTAAATTCTAAGTTTATTTTCATCATTTATCCTTTATAAAAAATTAAAAATATATTTTAAAAATAATTTAAATCTAAATTAAAAGTATTATACTTTTAAATTAATATTAAACTTAACTCACTTCTGATGTAAGACTAAGCGGAGATGTAAGACTTCGGATGTAATAGTAAATTTAGATAAGTCTACTATACAAATTTTTGAACCATTACATTATACACATATTTTGAAGCCATTTTGATTGATTAATTTCACATGATTAATTTTTAGTTTGATTATGAAAACGGGTGAAAAAAAACGAAATATGGATCAAATATTGGAGAATATATCCCATGCTACTCTTATTAGATCGGAATCAGTACGACAATATTAAAATTTACTATCAAAATAATATATGTATAGAACCTTTCGAGATAGTACTGTTGGTGAACAAATGATTCACGGGTCGATGCCAAGGTCAGTCGGGCCTATGCGACGAGTGTCGACGCCGTGATGTTAAGCAACGTCTCTCTATCTCCAAGCTGGTTGGCGGCTCGCCTTCGTACACTAGATGACAACTCCTAGGTCGGAACGCTCGTGGCCCGAGGGTGATCGCTTTCCTGCAAGAATGACCTTCGTCGGGTGATTCCCGACTTTAGCCCCTCCGACGAGCAAATCAATAGTTGTTTTTATCTTTTTTTGTCCTTTCCCTTGGTCGAATGTCGGCTATGGGCTTTTATACTACTGTACGAGGGTCGATCGTACGCGGGTTTGACATGGTGGCCAATCTTCGAGAGATGAGACGGTACCTTTGTGCGACCGTCATCCCTAGGACGCACGGAACGACGCTAGACGGTGTCGTCCCGAACTTCCAGGACGGGACATACCAAACAACGCCTTGATACGGATTCTGACTTGGCACGTGGGGGTGCTCCCCTTATTGACTCAGCTGTAATGCAGCATGGCATCGATTGTGACATATTTTGGACCCAAAATATATCTTATCAAGTACATTTTCAAATATCTGACAATCGAATCCGTTCCAAATATATATGTCATGGTTCCTTACTTCTAGAGAGTACAAATATCTAAATTTCATTCTTTTAGATATTTTTTATACTAAGTAGCAATACAAAATTTATATCAATTTTAAAATTTTCATCTATTTTTTATGATATTATGCATGGATCAGATATATTAGGGCTAATTTTGGTTATAATAGACATCGATTCTATTGATTGAATATAACATAAAACCTTGGTAATACAAACAACAAATTGAGAAGTGAATTTATTATAATTCTTGGACAAGAAACTTCAAAGCTCGAATGTAAAAATGAATATAATATAAATAGAAAACTCCAATCAAATTGCAGCGATACTTATGTTAAGACAGTAAATTTTTTTTTTGATAATTTCAAGATATAATATGATATTATCTAAATAACCAATCCGAGTCAAATAAAAGAGGAAATGGAGGAATATCCAACTTATTTCTTTTCTAACAACGTTAGACAACCAATCAAAAGTCATATCTAATTAAGTCAATGACGTGACGATGGTGACACCAACTTGAACATGTAAAATAATTATACATGATTAATAAAACATCAAAAGGGAATATTCTTAGTTCCTATCTTAAATTTGAGTCTTACAATATATATATATATATATTTGGATACTTATTTACCTTTAAACTCTTTGAATTTGGATCCAAGAAAGTTCGCTATCAAATAAAAAAAGTGAGATGAGGAATCCCTTGACTTAGGTCAAATGAACGAGAGATTAGAAGCTAGTCGAAACAATATGAGTCATATAATTTTCAAATGCTATAGTATTATCGATCAATTTCATCTCATGGGATTGAGAAGCATTTTAAATAATTTAAGAATTTTTGAAGCGTCTTAGCTATTCGATTGATTGATGACTAATTGTCTCGAATATGTTCTACTATTTTATACTTCACAAAAAACGATCAAACTTACATTAACCCTTTTAACAAAAATAGAGATAAATTATTTTTAACTAAAGGTCGTTAAACTAAATAAACTAAAATATGCTATGATAAGGTAAAATATCCAATTTAAATGAAATAATAATAATAATAAATAAATAAATAATAAAATATATAAAATGTGAAATCATGCAAATGGTATATATATGAAACATTATAGATCTAATAAAAACACTCAACGGGTACATTTTTTTTTCTTGGATGTTTGACTGACATGACTTTTGTAATTAGAATTTGACAAAAAATTTCTTTGAAAAATGAAACACAAATATTTTTTTTAATTATTATATAATTGATATGAGAAATATCACTGATGTTTAGATAAGTCCAATTTGATTCGAGTCCATGTGCATAAAAAAATCGAATGAGGTTAAGAAAATCTGATCGAATATTAATCATATAAAGATCAGTTAAATAAAATATTTGATGTGAAAGTAACATAATAGAGTGAAAGTTTTGAATAAATAGTAATCGATGATGGCTTTTATATTAAGTTGAATTGAAAAAATATTTCATGAATGAAATTTTCCTTCAACATTTTATACGATGTTAATATTATTGAATCTTGGATTTTGATGATGAAACCAATTGATAGTGTTTATGATTTGATATACGAGTGACGCATGATACTTCGATCGGGGAGAGACATTTAAAGTAGGAAGAATCATGTTGGGCTGGAGAAACATATCAAAAGATTGGACGTCGTGCCGAAGGATCAGTCGACGTATCGACAGAAGGCTTCGGGCCATGAGTTCGGGCATCGGGTCAAGAAGAGCGAATATTGCACCAAGGATATCGGAGTTACAAAGATCAACTAGTCGATTGAGCAATAGGCTGTAAAAGAGGATGATGCACCGAAGAATCGAACGAAGCGTCGATGGAACAATGACATGCCGGACAACATGATTCATGCTTAGTAATAATTGTCTAGACCGAAGTGTGTTTTATGTGTGCAGGATTAACTACGATAGTAAGACATAAAGCAAAATGAAGTCCTAAAGTCAAGAATGCGATTTCGTTGGGAGTTCGAGAGTTCGTCGGAAGTCCAGACGTTCGTTAGAAGTTCTGCCGGAATTGACTGAGAAGTCCAGGAGCTTGCCAAAGAAGCTCGTCGGAACTTGCCAAGAAGATCGTCGTAAAGTCCAGGAGCTTGTTGGGAGTCTGCTATAATATTGTCGAGAGATCGTTGGAAGTTCGTCGAAAGATCGCCGAAAGAAACTAGACTTACGGACTTGTTTAGCTTTGTAAATGTCTTAGAATTCGTAGTTAGCACATAACTAGAATTAAAATTTGGCCAACTCAATTAAGAGCCAATTGGATCCATGAATAAATTATGTTGGGCCCAATGAAACTGCCCAAACAGTGACCCAAGAGGTGACACCGTTGTGGCACAGTCTTCGAGACTATGCCAGGCGATAGTTCCGCTCAGACACAATCTCCAAAAGGCTGCAGGCGGTGGTACCGCCCAGTAGCAAGGTGCCAAGAGGTGGCACCACCCCTGTCAGGTGGTGGTACCGCCCAGTGTCAGACTGACACTAGCAGTGGTACCGCCCGTACCTAGGAAACCCGGGATAAGATGTTTTTAGGCTCTAAGTTTGAACTAACTTGAGGCCTATAAATACTCCTCTCATCCCTGGTTAAACAACACAAACACAAAGAGTTTAAAAATAAGAGAACGCTGTAAAAATCTCTTGAGAAATCCCCTCCTCTAGCTTAAACTTAAAATTCAGTTTAGAGAGAAGTGTGTGCGTATAAAGGTTGTCTCTTAAACCTGTGAAAAACAGAAGAGGGGTGTAAGAAGGAGGTTGATCTTCGCGGAAGATCGATAGTGGATGTCGGTGGCCTCGACGGATGAGGAATCGACGGAGTGGATGTAGGTCACGACGATCGAACCACTATAAAATCTAGTTTGTATTTTCCTTTGAGCAATTTACTTTAACTGTAAACCACTTTACTTACTTGCTTTACATCCACTATGCTCTTCCATACACTTTCAAGTTATCTTTCTGAAATTGATTTTATAGTGAGAAAGAGTTTTACAAAACCGACGTTTTTATCCGTTGTACTAATTCACCCCCCTCTTAGTATCGACTCGTTCCTAACAAATGTCACAATGATAAGTACTCTATCCGTTATCACTTGTCCCATTATGATTAATTAAATTATTAAACAAAAGATTTAAATGAGTTTAATTGATATACTAGCATCATTTTGTAATTTGCATAGTTATAAAAATTGAATCAGATAATATGGTTTCTAATCTGATCTACTTATTGGATGGTATATATTAGTAAATTGAATCGATGTCCGATCGAATTGTGGATCCGATCCTACTTACGGGTATCCGATCTAAGCGGTCAACTTATTATCCATCTAAATTTATTGAAACTGTACTATATATAATCTTAATTTAATTGCTAGATCCGCTTTTTCTCTCTCATACGGCAATAATGTAAAGAAGATTCTACGGCGCAGACCAAACGGTCAAGTCGGATAGGGGAGCCTTACCGGAACAGCAGGCGTGACTAGACATGGAGCTCACGATGGGTTCGCTCCCGGTGGCCAACGTTCAAGCTCTCGCGGCGGCGAGCCGTGACGTCCCGGAGAGGTACATCCGGCCAGAGGCCGGCGCACACCCCGTCGTCGCGGACTGCGGCGTCGACATCCCCGTCATCGACTTCTCCCGATTCCTCGACCCCAACTCCTCCCGAGACGAGTCCTCCAAGCTCCACCTGGCCTGCCAGAACTGGGGCTTCTTCCAGGTGGGATACATGTCTGTAGTGGAGTGAATCAGCTGCACAAACTCGCATCTAACGTGGACCATCGGTCGGATCTGTTGATCTCTTGCAGGTGATAAATCACACTGTTCCGAAGGAAGTGATTGAGAAGATGAAGCTTGACGTCCGGGAGTTCTTCCAGCTTCCTCTGGAAGAGAAGATGCAACTGGCGCAGGTGACCGGCGATGTGCAAGGTTACGGCCAGTTGTTTGTTGTATCGAAAGATCAGAAACTAGATTGGGCCGACGTGCTCTACCTTAACACTCAACCTGCTCCCGAAAGGTGTTTGAGGTTTTGGCCCACTCAACCCCTCACATTCAGGCAAGCATGCAGACGCACTGTTCCATAGAACAGGATCGAACACTTCTCTTCCTTCTATTTTCTTCTCCATTTATTGTGAACAGATTCATCGATACCATCGGTACATGCATGCAATTGTTCTTCGCAGTTACTTGTAGCTATCACTGTACGTTGACTGTCGCAAGTAATCTCAGGGCTGCACTAGATAACTACTCTGCTGAGGTGAAGAACTTGGCAGATCGCTTGCTGGAGATCATGGCTAAGAACTTGGAACTCAACCCGGATGTGGTGACTGACAAGTTCAAGGTCGGCATTCAATCACTAAGGTTCAACTACTACCCTCCTTGCCCTCAAGCCGACAAGGTATTGGGGTTCTCCCAGCACTCTGATGCTGATCTCATAACACTGGTTCTTCAAGTAAATCAAGTCCAAGGGCTGCAAATAAAGAGAAGCGGCGAGTGGTTCCCCGTTAAGCCTCTTCCCGGTGCTTTCATCGTTAACGTTGGTGATATATTTGAGGTAAATCCTCCTTTGAATTCATCCTGTGCTACTACTTCAGTTATATGTAATCTTTCGCAAAAGATCTAATGGCCTCTTTTTGTTCTTTTTCATGCAGATCCTCAGCAATGGCAGATATAAAAGTATCGAGCACAGAGTTGTAGTGAACACAGAGAGGGAAAGACTGTCGATAGCAACATTCCACAGTCCCAAATCTAATGCCATGATAGGTCCCCTGCAGGAGCTGGTAAGAGGAAGTGGCGCAAGGTACAAGACCGTGAACCATGAAGATTTCATGAAGCTATTCTTCTCTTCAAAGCTTGATGGGAAGAGCTTCTTGGATCGTATGAGATGCTAAGAGATGATTTTTCAGTGCAGCAAAGACCAGAGGTCTTCTTGCAAGAACAAAACGATTTCTAGACCACCCTTTTCTCTTTTTTTTTTTTTGTTAGGGTGATCTGTAATCCCAGTGGTGTCACAATACTTGTCTTATGCACGCTAATGCAATGAAAAATAACATTTTAATGATAAGAAAGATCATGCCAACTCTTAGGAATGAGACTCCAGTTTCACTACAATCAGCAGTTCAAGTTTGTACTGCAAAAGACAGCAAAAGCACCACACAGTCTCAAATACAGGGAGTCTCAACTGGTTAAGCATCTTCCTAGAAGTTTTATGTGACTGCTTTGTCAAGAGGTGGAAAACATCTATCCTGACTTCTGTGATTTACTGTCATTTGGAGTGCATCTGTAGAGATGAATGATTGTGATCAATCTGAAATATTCTGGATAACAATAACCAAAAGTATACCGACTGCCAGAAGGAGACCTTCTTTTAATGAGAGTTCTTCTCTTCCTGTCCACCAGTCAAAAGGAGAAATGATATATCTCAGAAATCCTCCATCATCACTTAGTGGAGTCTTATGTCAAACATTAATGTTGGGTTAGATTTGAAAGGAAACCTGATTCTGAAACTTGTACTAATATTATTGCTGTCAGGATTCATCTATTTAAATCAAAGACTCTCTCTCTCTCTCTCTCATTCTCTCTCTCTCTCTATTCATGCATACTTCACAGCAATACATAGCCCCTGTCAAAAGCAACAATGGGATGACAGGTTCACAGCAGCTGACCGCCGTGCTCAAGACAAGACATCCTCGAGAAGCTTGTACCTGCGGCCTGAAGGCTTGGAGGAAGATGATGCACTGCTGCCTCCGGTCGTGCCCCGGTGGCCGGTTTCCTCTCGACCGCCGGTGTGCCTATCGCGTGTTTGTCCCCGGTTCTGCGCACTTCGCTTATGCACCAGTTGCAGACCACTGCAGTTTCTGAAGGCTTCTCTCCTTGGCTGAGTTAGTGCAGTAGAGCGCGAGGTTGAGCGAGATAGAGAGAGGGTGGAGAACGTCGGGAAATATGTGCATTCGGAGAAACGAATTCGACTCAATATACGATCGTAGATAAATATTATATTTTAAATATATATCATAAGTATTAATTAATAATATTATATTTCAAAAGTTCATAAAATGATAAATTTACTCTTTTTAATACTTATCCAAAAGTAAATATATATCTTTTATTTAAATTAATAATAAATTAATATGCGAGTTCATTAGATGGAGGAAAGTGAGAGGGAAAAGAATGCAGTGGATAAAAAGAGAGGAAATGGATGGTGGTGGTTAACGATGTGAGGTAGCATGCAAAGCCAACCCCAGATTGGGTCCATTGACCCAGCGGAGCCAACGCAGCACAGGGCGTCCCACCCGGGCCGCTGCCCGACCCCACATCTCTGACGCCCACTTGTCACCAACGACTACAGCCCGCCTCCACTCCCCTCCCCCATCCACATCCAACCACCAACTCAACTATAAACCTGGGAACAACTCAATTACACCAGTAAGAACATGAGGATTAGAGAGAGAGAGAGAGAGAGAGGTGAGAGACCATTTGAGCTTAGTCTTACACCATACAAACTTTTACTAGCCAACCCCAGCATCAATCTCAACCACTACAAAGCTCCACCCGTACCTGCCCTTCTCGTCGCTCCCTTCTCCCTCTTTTCTAATGGCTATGGTGATGGACCAACAACAACCAGAGCAGCAGCAAGCTTACAAGCACTACTGCCGGATCTGCAAGAAGGGCTTCGGCTGTGGCCGCGCCCTCGGTGGTCACATGCGCGCCCACGGCATCCTCGATGACTCGGTGGGCGGCCAGGCCGATGCAGATGATGATACCTCCGGCTTTGGCGCCTCCGAGTGGGACGACAAGCTGAATAACTCGGCCGCCGCAGGCACCAAGCGGATGTACGCGCTCCGCACCAACCCCAACCGCCTCAAGAGCTGCCGCATATGTGAGAACTGCGGCAAGGAGTTCCTGTCCTGGAAGTCCTTCCTTGAGCACGGCAAGTGCAGCTCCGAGGAGGAGGGAGACGACTGGTTCCCCTCGTCGCCTAGGTCTGAGGCCGAGGACGATCTCGCGGGGCAGAAGGGATGCGCCGGTTGGTCCAAGGGCAAGCGGTCTCGGCGCACGAAGGTTGTCTTGACGGAAGAGGAAGATCTCGCTAACTGCTTGGTGATGCTGTCCGCGGCCCGCGTGGAGCCGGTGGTCATTATCGAGACCGAGGAGTCGTGTGCGTCGGCGAGCAAGGAGGATGACCGGCGGCAGCAAACGATGACGATCGCCGCGACCGCGGAGACGCCTAAGGCTCCTGCACTTGCACCACCAACTCTGCCGAGCGTCCCCCGGGGGATGTTCGAGTGCAAGGCTTGTAAGAAGGTCTTCACCTCGCACCAGGCATTGGGAGGCCACAGGGCCAGCCACAAGAAGGTCAAAGGCTGCTTCGCCGCCAAGCTCGAAGCCCTCGACGAGGCCCTGCCGGACGAAGAGGTCATCACGCATGAGAAGAACGCCAGCGAAATGGCAGCCGCGTCGATGTCGATGGCGATCGTGCCGTATGAGAACTCGGCTCCCTTGGCCATTGCACCGCTCAAGAAGAAGCCGAAGTTGCACGAGTGCTCGATATGCCACCGCGTGTTCACCTCGGGACAGGCATTGGGCGGGCACAAGCGATGCCACTGGATCACGTCGAACTCGCCGGACCCCGGCGTGAAGCTCCAGCCCGTACCAGACCACGCGAACCTTCATCACCAGCTAACTCTCAGACCAATGTTCGATACTTCCAACTCCGAGCCTCTCGATCTCAACATGCCCGCGCCCGCCGACGACGTCGCTGGTGTGCGGAGGGATATCGGCAGTTCACTGCGGCTCGAAATGCCTGCGGCAATCTACCTACGGTCATGGATCGATCGTGGCAACACGAATAAAAACAGAGCCGCTACCAGCATTAACAAGAACAATGATGACAATCACATTCACAGCAAGGACAACAACACCGAGATGTCTAGTCTCAATGTGGATGATGAAGCGGACAGTAAGGTAAAGCTAGCGCTGAGTGACCTTAAGGATATCAACATGGGAGGGGAAAGCTCTCCTTGGTTGCAGGTGGGGATTGGCTCGTCAGCCAACGAGGGCAGCGAGGCATGAGGAGATTCTTCCACTGTTCGACATCACAGAAACAGAAGAGAAGGAAGAACTTCGCACCGTATGTATGTTGTATTAGAAGAGTGTAATTACAAGAACAATTCTTTTTCCTCTGGTGGGAGATGTCTTCTCCTGTTTCCCTCAGGACAAGAAAAGAAGAACACTTCTTTTCAATTTTCATTTTTGTTTAAAGATCATGTAACTCCCTTCTCTCTCTCTCTCTCTCTCTCTCTCTCTCTCTCTCTCTCTCTTCTCTTCTCTTCTCTTCTCTTCTCTTCAGTGTCTGTTGAGATCTGATGATTGGGTACTGAAACACTTTTTCTGATAAAGAGGGATGCTTTTGATCCAATAGAAATAGTGGAGAAGAAGGTGTACTTTTCTGCTACCTACTTTTGATTGTGTTTCTTGCTCTTCCCGTATTTGTCATGTTGACAAGAAATCTAATCCGAATCTCCTCTTCGCCACTTACCCTTTGCACCCAAATAAAAAGACTCAGTTATTCACATCAATCACACGCTTCTTAGTCCACGAGGACCCAATGCACTCATGCTTCTGTATCCCCCCTGTATCGCTAGACAACAGTGAATCTGGTGCGGGGAAATGCTGTGCACTTTCTTCGATTTCAAGTAATCGATAGCAGATCTCTTACAGGTTTTACTCACTTGTTTTACTAGTTCTTCCGATCACATGTTGCTGCACCAGCACTCTTGGCAAATCTTTCTAAAAGCTGCTTCAGATGCAGCAGTTTAGCTTCTGTGTCATGAACGATGAACCAAGCTCCGCTGCAAGCTAAGGTACGATCATGTTATGATGTTCTAGTGCACAGGATGATGAACAAGCACCACCAACAGTTCGACAGATATGACACGCGACATGTCATGGCGACGGGGTCATGCCAAATCTGTCGGTGATGAAGGTGAAGGAGGAGGAGGAGAGAGCTAAAATGCCGCTCGGCCATATGATAAGTGAAGTTAATGGGAATGCAGTCGGGCAACGCATGTGGGATGGGCGCCTTTCGCGTTGGCCTATTCTCCCTCACTACCTCTTCTTCGTACCGTCTTTTAGCCAATGGATTCACGATACACACTTCATGCAATTCGTTTCCTCCACCAATCCTTCCCCAAATGAAGCAAATCTTCCGTCTGCTTCGTTTAGGAACTGCAAACGTCTAACTCGAATAGGTTGCTTTGGTGAGTGACCACAGTAAAACAGCAAGAAAGGTCAGAGTTGTGGAGCTTTTTACGGTGCAAAGATGGCCATGGCATTTGCTCCATGCTGAAGCAAGTAATAAAGTAGAAAACACAGCTGCAAATCTTGGTCAGGTGCATAAATGTACAACTGAAGTAAAGTCGCTGTAGTTAGGGTTGCATATAAGTCTCTTCTTATCCCACTTGCAGATCCCATGCTTTGACATTGCACGACACAAAGCATGACATTAGATTTGAAGCCAGATGCAATCTAAGATGCATTTGACTTTAAAGACTGATAGAATATGGCATCAATTAGAAAAATCGAAGTCAACTCCAAGAGTTATGGCTGATCTCACATTCAATCTGCAAGATTAACCTATCAAATCTGCAATCTTCAAGCCATCTGCTTACTCTAAACTGGATAATATAATACGAAAATGAAAACATTGGCAATCGCTATCTAAGGGTTACTTGCATTCGTATAGAACATTGGATGATGCCAAATTTCTTGGCTATAACATGAGTTAATAATATTTCTGGAAATATTCCTTGATCATTGAAGAACTTGGATGGGAGAAGAGTGGGGTAGAGGACAGATAACATCTTCCTTCGTTCATGGGAGTAGGCAGTCAGTATAGTAATCTCTTATGGGGAAAAGAAGAAGAGTGAGGTGCAGAAAGAGGAGGGCAGAGGGATTCCTTTTGCCCCCATGATTATGGACAAGACCAAGAACTGAAGAACCTCCTTAATTTGTGTGACAGAATCTTTCCCTTTTCCTCCATCAGTTGGCGATGGCCAACTCGAACAACCAAACTTCTCTTATTGGGATAAATATTACGAACTTAAAGGCTGTAAACATTATAGAAAAAGGCAACCATCAAAATTTAATGCAACTCTATACGCTCGAGATATAATAATATACATGATTTGCATACGCAGTGAAGTATATGTCTCATTCCATACATGGATTCCACAAGCGGGTGTAGAATAGCCAGTGGCTGCACACTCCTCGATGTCACCCGCACGGAGAAAGGAGGAACGGGGAGAAAGAGAGAGATCACAGCGTCGCAGACTTCAACAACTCCACTTGACTGCTACTGCAGCTCCTCCTGTTGTTCTCCAGCCAACACTCCCTGCCGACTTCTGCGGAACTACGGAATGGAGACGGAAGACGAAGAGGAACGAGAGAGAGAGAGGCACAATACGTTGCAATCAAGACTGTCAGCAAGTATGATGTACTATCGCGAAATTGGTAATGCCAAAAGCATTCTCATGTTCGATACTGCTGGTCATGTTTATGGTACCGTAAGGACTCGATATAAGCATGAAGTACTTACTGTGACGGAATTGGTAAGACCAAAACATTCACAAGTCTGCTATGAATGGGGAATTAAGTGTTTCCAAAATAAATTTGATGTTTTCCATTGGGTTTTTATGCTTAATCGCTGCTTGTTTCTTTCGTCTCATAGATTAATATTAGTTGCCCCTCTGCAATCTCTTCTTCATGTGAGGGGGTGTGCGTATCTTTTGGTGGAGGAATACTTGTCGTATACTCTTATTACGTTTCCTGGCGACTGCTTCCTGTACTCTCTCTCACGCTATAATATCAGGAGGAAAAGCTTCACGCCTCCAGAGACATCACTTTCGACTACTGTCATACTATTCCTTTCTTTCTTCTCTCTTCCTTCACTCTTTTGTGCTTCGTATGGAGAAGCACAGGTGTAGCATCTGCTTCCGTCGCTTCTCCAGCGGCCGGGCACTCGGCGGCCACATGCGCCGTCACGTGACCGCCGCCGCCGCCACCCTTCCAACCAAGCTCCTTGGCCACCACTGCTCCGCCGTCACCGCGGGCTTACCCCCCTGTGCCGGCGCGGTGGAGGCAGCAGTGGAGGAGGAGGAGGAGGAGGAGGAAGAGATCACCAAGGAAGCTGCTTATGGCCTTCGGGAGAACCCACGGAAGAGCTTCCGCCTCGTGGACCCGGAGTTCTCCTCCTCCTTCGCCGCCATCGAGCCCGCCGGTTCCTCCTCCGTCGTCGTCCAGGACGGTGAGAGCGAGACAGAGTCGCTGTGCGCTGCAGCCACCGACGATCGCCGACTTTCCAAACGGCCGCGCCATCGATCCCACGCGCCTACCTCGGAGCCGGAGAGTTCCGACGTCACGACGGAGGAGGACGTCGCCCTCTGCCTCATGATGCTCTCCCGAGACTCCTGGACCGCCGGTAAGGGATCGCTGCTGTTCGACGGGAACGACGACGAGGGATACGGCCGTCGAATCGCCGGCCGTTCACGTCCACCGCGGAGGGGGCGGAGCAAGCACCAGTGCGGGACGTGCAAGAAGGTGTTTCGGTCGTACCAAGCTCTGGGCGGCCACCTAGCGAGCCACCGAAGGCCCACTGCGTGTATCCCTGCTGTCCGATCGCGTACCGACGGGGACGACGATTCCCAGGCCAGTGTCGACGCCAAAGTCCACGAATGCCCCTTCTGCTTCAGAGTCTTCCCCTCCGGCCAGGCTCTCGGCGGCCACAAGCGGTCGCACTTAACATCTTCCACCGCCACCACTACCGTCACTTCACCGGCACCAGTGCCTCCGTTGTCGTGCTCGACACCAACCACATCAACAGCCGGCGGCAAGTCCGGCGATGCCATCGGCTTAATCGATCTCAACCTGCCTGCGCCACTGGATGATGACGCGGCTCTCTCTGCTGTCTCCGACTTTGAGTTCAGTCCCAACCGCACAGTGAACTGAGCAATTCTGAGTACGTCAACCATTGGATCTGTACATGAAGCAAGTTGAGGTATGAATTGTAGCGAACTCTGAGCAAGCTTTAGAGCTTCAAATCTCCTTTTCTTCACACTGAAATGGGTGGAACTAATTATTCGGTCATTCGCTTTGTATGTATAGCTTCCCGTGAGATGGATGATTGATCTGATAGCACTCTTGAACATTTAATTTACTGTTCTTATTCTCTTGTCCCAATTGCTTGCTGTTCTCCAGCTGTTCTTGCTGGGTGAACATCAACTTCCAAAACATTAGTAGCGCTTGATAAGACTAAAGATAGCACAGCAGAGCTGGAGTTGCTGCTGCTGTTGTCGTTTTGTTCTTCCTCTGCAACTCACCGCCTGCAAAGCCCGCTTGCTACCTGCAGTACTTGTCTCTTCTCCTCATCTCTTCCTTCCCTCCCTCTCCCAAAATTTGTAAGCTTCCCCCCGGATTGAGCTGGTCAGTCCCCGCTTCTTTTGGACGCTTGCGGCCCGTCAGTGATGTACTTCGACGCTCATCCACGTTTCCCACTCCGGCCGCTCGTTTGCCATGCGGTGAGCGTCGCTGTCGTCGCCTGCTCCATCGGCGTTCCCTTGTCACCTCTGCATTAATATGTCCAGCTCAAACATTACGAGTTTTAGATTCAAACTCTTCAAGTTTGTAGATACGAATCATGAAAGAACAGCATTTCGCCGGAAGGACCAATCTATGATATTATTGCCAGATTGCGTAAAATTGCGTACAACACGTTGTACATAAAATAAAGCTAAAAGAATTAAGACTATTGGATGTATGAAGTGGCTCTCTTTGGAATCATCCATCTCGATCGATCCTTCAACGCCTGTCTTATCCTCTGTTTGATGAAGCTCGAGGACAAGAGGATTGAAAGAGGAATATTTATCTCTAATCTTAATCTGTGGTTTAATTTCAAGCACATTAGCAAGTTTAGTTGCAGGTAATTAACCCCATTAATCGATAGCCGAAGAAAGAACGATACCGACCGGGAAAGAGAAGGGCGGTGGTAGTGGCTTTCACGTGCTCTTGCTGGTGGTACGTCTGATCGACATTGGACTGCCGTGATGGAGGGAATGCAGATGTTGCCCCCTCTGCCATTGGCGCTTCATAACCAGTGTGGGACCCGAGTTGGAGGTGTGGCGCCACTGCTCATCACATCCGCAAGGTGGATAGTTGAGTCGAACGAGTCGTAGACGAAAGCTCGACTTTATCTTGTCATGGAATCTTGGGCTTTGCTGTTGCCATGCTTATCATCATCGGTCACCACCCATTTCGTGAAACTGGTACTCAGGTGGCTTAAATCAGCTGTAGAAAACAGAATTAAAATTTCTCAGAGAATTGCAACATAAATCATGTTCGATTTGCTGAAACATCAAATAACTACAGAAGAAGTTAGTATAGTCGAGATGAAGATATAAAGATGGATGTGCAACAAATCTAAGGAGAGAAAAGATGTAAGATAGTATGAAAATATTTCAAGGTCTACAGATGATATGATCACATGAGTTAATCGATTAAGATTAACAAAGGAACATAAAGGAAACCTAAAATGATTTTTTAGAAACGATAAAAGGTTGGTTTCATACTTTTGATTCAACAAGAAGACAATCAATTTATTAAGAATAGATCTAAGGAACAATCTTTATCTCCTACTTCCAAAAGTAAAGTTGTTCATTTTCATCACTGGGAGAACATAAGTCTGGAGAAGAAACCACAAAAAGACAGTAATTGGTAGCATTGAACAAACATGATGATCTCATCACATCTTGCATGGGTTTTATTAACATAGGGAAGCAGTGGTATCAATCTCTAAATGAATTCTTTGATCAGGCATTAAAAGAAAATTGATGAATACAGATTTGTACCTTCAGGCCTGAAGAAAGCCTTCCACATGGAGGTAGCTGACACTGAGTAGCTGTTAAAAAAGCAGGCAGTCTTGTGTTGTGGTTGAAGCATCTTTCAGTCTTTCGGATATGAAATGAAAGGAATTTGTTCAGGTAAAGTTCCAACTATGATTGGAAACCTCAAGTGGGTTGCAAGTTTCATTCATCTTCTCGTGTCAAGTCTTTGCTGAAATCACTAAAAAAGACAGCAAAGGTGCAGAGAAAAAGGTTGCAGAATCTTTTATTTTTGAGGGCATAAACACATTTACTTGGCCAAGTTGGTTTGCTGGAACATTATAAATATTCAAAAAGGTGACAAGACAGGAGCAATTAAGCCTGCAACAGATTTATACAATTCCTGATGATATCAACATTCAATCAATCAGTTTTCATTAGTGATTTCTGCATCAACATCACTTATCACATGACAGCAATCAATAGCTTTAAAGATCTCTGCACATCACAGCAGTAGTGTGCTGGTTGCAAAGAAAACCCTATAGCCTCAGTCATGAACTTGCAAGGAAGCACACTGAGAGCTCAAGTACAAGAAGAAAACTGCAAGAGACTCTTTTTTTGTTGGTTTTTTTCTTAAGAAAAGAAGTAAAACATGGGATGAAGATAATAAAGTCAATCAAGCAGTGTCAGCAATGATAGACCCAAACAAGCACACACGACATGGGACCTGTGCAGAAAACCTAATATAACCTTTTGTTAACTATGGAGAATCTGAAAACTGGATCAGCATGTAGACCATTATGGGAGTTATGCTGTAACTTAGCACCTACATAACTTTATAAATTATTATAGATATCGTCCGTATATTAGAAAAAATGATGAATAATTGTGAATGTTTGAAAATAAACCATACACTGCAGCATCTTGATCTCCAGCAAACTAGAGCTGGTTTATGTAGCATCATCAGTGATTGCTGCATTTAACCATGTTACTGGATCACCAGAATAATGATCAAAAGGGCATTAAACCGAGTTTTCAAAAGCCAACAAATGCTACCAACCTCCACAGATATGTATACAGTCATTTATGTTTTTTAGCAGTGTTCAATTTGAACTTGTTCACTGGAGCTTCATTCATAGAACCATCAGAATCATTACAACAAGACAGACAATTATGCTCAGTTTTGAGTCCTGACCAAAACATCGACAGTGGTGTTTGCTAATTTTGTACTAAAAATATAGAAATATAAGAAATAGTATCACTCGTCAAAGCAATCTCTGTATGGACCTATCCAAACTATATCTCTAGAAGATAAATAAAATCATAAGTACATATGTCCAAAGGTGAGCTACCATCTTTATATGTCTCAAACAGTAAATCAAAACATATATTATGTTCAGGAAATTGAAACAGTAAACCTTTATATGCAGGTACAGACCCATTAAGTAACCAAGTTCCTTTCCTCATTTAAATATCATAAACTAACATTAACTTCTGTTTCATATCCACTTAAAAATCACTAAAAATTATTCACAGTCAGTCATTCTCTCACCTATGAATGAAATAAAATAGAAAGACATGGAAAGAAAAACCTATAAAATGATAAAATGACCATGAATCAATATCAATTTCAAGAGAACTAATTTGTTTATCCCAAGACCACGGTGAACAAAGTCCAAACTGCGGCAAGGTTGCCAAAACTTTTGAAGACTGTTGAAATTAACCAAAACTACAAGTTACCATGAAAATAAATTAATGAATCGATCATGCAAATTGTTCCACCTATTACCAGTGGGATTACCATAAACACAGAAACATGTGATTTATGGGCCATATTGCATGACAAATATGTGCTTGTGCAGCAGTTAGTGCCATGCTAATGCCACATAGGAACAGGCGGGTGAAATGTAAAAGCAATCCATAGACAAAATCATACATGAACTTGTGGTCCGGAGACAACTTCTGGCAAAGAATACCTACCTACAAGCATGCACATTGTTAGGAATTCATGGAACACTATATCCTTGTTCTTATTTTCTCAGTTATTTAGCATAGAGATGTCCACCTCTATCCTAGGGAAAGAGGAAGCACTATACAAGGACTGAAGGTTCGAGCTACATACAGTAATCATTTCTGTTTGACTAGCATTGTGTTGTGAGGGATTAGCAAAAGGTCCTATATGGTCAAAGATGTCCTAAACTTAAGCAATGAGAATCAATATTTTGGATAAGGAACTCTTTGGTTGAGTCTGCAAGTCATTTCCATTGTCTAAAACATTTCAAATTCACTTCTTCCAGCTCAGTTATTCTTCTATCTTCACTTTTGCTCCTGAGACATTCACAGTACCACATATCACAATAATGAAAGATAATCACAACCACCATCTGCTCTAATACAAACATATCGTCAGCTGGTTTCCACTAAGAATTGAAAATTTAGATGACAGTGGAAATTTTGCTCTGACACATTTCATGCCATGCCATTTTGGTGCCAAGATCTACTATGTCATTTTTTGGACCTTTCCAGCCGGCACAAAGAACATGCTAGCATATTATGCCATATCATGGAGACCAACAAGCTGAAACCCCATGCCACCATATTTCAAATCCTGATTTACTTAAAAATTCAGAAAGGTCTCTCTGTGTACTGCCAGTGAAGCTTGTTTAGCCACTCAGCTAAATGTAACGAACCTTTAGACCAATGCTACAGACTAAATTTTTTGTTTTAGTTGTTTGGACTGATGACACCAACAAATGTAATTGAGTAGTCTCTGTGGCCCTGATTAAGTAATTTTATGCATAGCTCCTTCTCTATCTGAGCTAAAGCATCATTTTAGCCAGATGGGGAAATACCAAGTGATAATCAATATATCTAGTTAATGATTCATCGCAACTTACACTCAAGAAAGATGAAGTATTATTTCAAGAAATTCTTGTTTGAGTTATTGGTAGACCAGATGGAATGTGTAGCTTTGCTAAACCAACTGATCTAGCAATCTTCTTCAATCTTGAACACACCAAGTTAAACTCATCCATGTTGAAGTATACTATGAAGAAATTTTAAAGAATTATTTGATTTATTAGTAGACCAAACGAGATGCACACTTATCGTCGTTAAAACCAATTGATTCAGCAAGTATTTTAATGTTGGAAACATTGAGTAAAACTCATCTTTGTGCAAGTATTGAATCCATACAGAGACTGGAATGAGTGCAACACATATTGACCCATTTTAGACAAAGTAGAAAAAGTTACAAGTGATGTACCAAAAGCAACAAGAACTTCTTTCAAGCTATTTATAAGCAGGAAGTTAAAGCATTAATAGAAGAAAAGCATAAAAGAGAAGGATGCAAGATTGACCTTGGAGTCTTCAACAGCAATCAAATACTCTTTGGTCTCAGGCAAGTTTTTAAACTTACAGTAGAATAATTAATGTCAAAGGAATGAGTTTAAATTGAAAAAAAACGAAAATTCACATTAACATGCAAAGTGGAACTGATATTTATAACCATACGCTGTAATTTTGACAATTAATATGGTACAACCGATTAGCTTTCAAAGATTTCCTTTACGGTTACTATCAGAAGTATAAAGCACAATAAAACACAAACAATTCTATCATTGTCCATGGCAACTAGTGGAGACAAATAATTGAAACGTTCTCAGAGAAAAATGTGACGATTCAGTGGGCATTGGCAAATGGTATAATAACTGAAGCAAGCAAGATGTTTTAGAGAAAAAACATTCTGAAATAATCTAAGCCTTACAAATGCAGCAGTTTCATACGATGCTGAAAACTGAAGTATGGATTGTCTTTGTAAAGCTATGAAACCAACACTTAAGCAAGTCTATTTGACATCAAGTGTTGTACATACTCATTCCCTCAATCGTTTTATATCTTCACTCAACAAATAGAAATAGACCCAATGGTTGACCATCATTACGTAAGATGTTTGGGAAGATTTGTTTTAACATACCCGAATGACCTTTTCGTTCAACCCAAAAAAATAGCTTCGTTGACGCAAAAGCTCGAACAGCGTCCGAACATGAACATCAGTTAGGAAACCTCTTAATTCATACATCGATGAGATAAAATACCTATCCCATGGCGTCCTTGAGCGAGTCCCCTGCACCCTGGAAGAAGCAATAAGAAAGAGCGAAGTCTGCAATGAAAATTCCAACAAGGGAGATGACCACGGCAGACGTCGTGGACTCGCCAACCCCCTTGGCCCCGCCATGAGTCGTGACCCCCCAGGCGCAGCTGACGATCGCAATAATGGCCCCAAACACCTGCGACTTGATCATGGCGCTAATGATGTCCCAGGGGCGCAGCGCCCTCCTGGCGGACTCGAGGATGATGTTGATGCTGACGCCGAAGACAGCGTCAGCAAGGAAGGCGCTAGAGGCGAGGCCCACGAAGAAGCAGAGGAGGGTGAGTACGGGGAGGGCGAGGCAGCAAGCGATGACGCGGGGGGTGACAAGGTAGTCAACCGGGTGGGCGCCGAGAACGCGGAGGGTGTCGGTCTGCTCGGAGACCTGCATGGTGCCGAGCTCGGCGGCGAAGGCAGAACCGACGCGGCCAGCGGCAACGACGGAGGTGACGACAGGGGAGAGCTCGCGGGAGAGGGCGAGGGCGAGGACGCCGCCGACGGAGCGGTGGAGGCCGAGGCGGGTGAACTCGCGGACGAACTGGATGGTGAAAGCCATGCCGACGAAGGCGGCGGTGAGGAGGCAGACGCCAGTGGAGCGGGGTCCGACCCTCTCCAGCTGCTGCAGGGTGTTCCGTCGGTGTATGCGCCCGGAGAGGGCACGACGGGCCACCTGCCCGGCAAGAATCAGGGCAGAGAGGCCGCGCCAGAGAGGCTGGGGCGGTGTCCACGAGGAGAACAAAGGAGCAGGTGCGGGTGCGGGCGCGGTCTCAGGTGCGGGTTCGGGGGCGTTGTTGGTGATGCCATGGGAGAGGGAGAGGCGGACAGTGCGGCGGAAGATCAGCGTCCGCCGGGGTATAACTTTGGGGATGATTTGGGGATTCTTAGGGCTTAGGAGTGGGGAGGAGGAAGAGGGCAAGGGGCGGAGGAAGAGGACGGAGATCGCCTCCATGAGCGTGAGGGGAGGCGAAGTCGCAACCGGCAAATACAAAGCTTTAGGCGACGATTGTTCGGTGCATAGAGCATTGGAATTGTGCAAGTTCGTGTAACATGTGTCTTATTATAACGACGTCAAAGAAAATTTAGGTTCATCCTCACATTAGGAATTTTATGTTTTGAATGTAAAAATAATTCCAAGGCATAATATCTCATCGTCGAAATTTAAAATTAAGTTCAAATTTAGAAAACATGTATCACTGATAACAACATATTGTTCTCACTCCTCAAAATTTGATTTCTCAAACATTTAACAGATATACTATGATCTCTTTTAATTGTCCTTAATAATCTTTTTTTTTATAACTGTCTACGGATACTATCTTAATACTTAGGCCTATCCTTTTAACTTTCTTGTATTTTTATATCACCCCCAAAGCTATTATATACGGGGATATATTAATATATGAGGTGAAATTGAGACCGTTTATAAGTGTTACGGAAAGATATCATTGACATCGAGATCAGCTCAACATCGTGTGTATAGGATTATCTAAGGTGTCTCCGACATAGAAACATTGAGGTCTTGAGGTGTCACTTTTGTACGAAGATCAAAATCGATAAAAATTTCTTCAATGTGAAAAAGAGACCTCTGTGCTATGTTAAAAATGAACTTTTATATTTGGTTGTGAATGTACGATATATTTTATAAAATATTCATTTGGGGATAACTTTTAACCATCTTTAATAACCTTGATAGCTCATAAATATTTGCTTTGGATCCATATGCATGCAAACATATCGATGAGTGATAGCTTTTG